ACTGTAGTGTTAGCTAGCTGAATGTGATGTTAACTAGGAATTGGTTGAATGCTAATGTTAGCTGTGGGTTAGGGTTTGACTTTAACTTTCAGTTTCTTATGAAATATGTGTTTTTCACAGTCTGTTTCTGATCAATCTATAGCCCAAGCAGAATTATGTTAGTGATTAGATTCCCTCATTTAGCAATCTTGAACACAGCTGTGTATTATTACAACAGCGTTTGAGCTTCCCACCTGACATCAAAAGAAAACTGCCACCTTCTGAATATGGTCCATAGCTCTAAACTCCAACCCTCCAGTAGGCTACCTGGTTGAAGCTGCTCTTAAATGTAGAATAATTTCCCTCAATATCCCTTAACTAACCGCGGGAGGGAAAATCTGACTTTCACTGAGGCTCCATTTAGAGCTGACACCATCAGCTAGTTATGTGGATCAATGAAGTGACCCAAGCTGCCGTTAAACATGTTCCTTTTTAGTGAGAGTGTAGTTCAGAGACTGACAACAGAGGTACAACAACACTCAGAACAAAAATATATATTTATGCACCGTCCTGCCAATGAGACATGGTCCCTGTGGGGGAACGATGTGATAAGGAGGGGAGATAGTGAACAGGGTTTTTGCTTTTCTTTCATTTATTTTTCCACTTACTGCTAACATTTTTAAACGACTAGAGATGATGATATTTTTGTCAATGTCTTCTCAGAACTAAAACTCAGCAACTCTAACTCTATTTGCCTTACAATAAAACCTCTGCGAGAGAGACTTCTGTGAAACGTTGAATTTTTAGCGATGTTAAAGGCGGATCAAGTTTCAAGAAAGTGTGCTGTAGGTTTGGCAGGACAGTCTGATCTATATATGTGTGTTCATCTACATTAATTTATTTACTATTTACAGAGTCAATACATACAGTACATCCACAGATCTCCATGACTCAGTTGGTAACCCCATCACAGACAGTGAGTGAGATGCTTGATGGACACAGAGAGAGGTATAGGGTTGGACAAGTGCTTTCTTTAAAGAGGAGGCAACAGGAAGTAGTGATGGCTGTATCAACTTTAAATTATGGTAATTAATAAAACTGAAGGAAAAGCGCTGATTTTCAAAATTGTAAAAGGAGTTTCTCTGAGGCAAGTAGAAACTATCCTTGAGCATTCTCCAATGTCCTGAACAGCTGTGGTCTAACAGCTTAGTATCCTTATTGCCAATACTAGATTTATTGACTGCTGTGCTTGGGCTTAAAGCTCCTGTGAGGAACTTTTGGTTTGTGTCAGTTTCTGTGATACTTGTAAACAAAGTGTCTTTTTGCTAATTGTGTTCTGTATATTCGTATGTAAGCTTTTCTGATGATAGAAATCTCATCCTGCTCTCGTCTGACACCTACCCCGCAGCAGTGTTTACAGGCAATAATAATAACATTATAGAAATAGTCAGTCTTCTTCCTGATGGTCTCTTTTGCTTCTGTAGGGCATATAGAAGCATCCCTATTAATGTCAGTCTGCTTCATAGTCAGATAAAAAAAATCCTCACAGGAGCTTTAAGATAACACTTAGATGTTTTGACTACTAAACAAACCAAAACTACACAAATATTATCCATATGTAGTATCTTTAAGGATGAACCTTCACCCAAACATCATTTTATCATAGCTAGGACAAACAATTATACAATCTAAATTGCTGCACTTCATAGAAATGTATCTTACAATTAATGCAGGTGAACACATAATGCAAACTCTACAAAAACAAAGTAATGATAGAACGTGATATTTGATGAGTCATAATTAAAGAGGCCCTAAAGATAGTTTCAGTGCTGCCTTCTAAGAGGAGCAACTCAGGGTTATAGTGTGCTATAAAGAACAAATAAGTATATAAATGGTAACTTGTTGCACATCACAGGTTAGTATGAAATTAGTATGAAATTGTAATTATTTGTATGCACCTCATTTGTAACCTTCTAAGGGGACTAAAAAAAGTTTACACTTTGCTTAGATATCTGGAAAACTGGACCCAGAACTGTTACATTTCTAAAATAAAAATATGTAACCAATACTAAGTCATAAGTGCTAGCATTTGTCTGTCTTTTAAGTTATTTTTTGGGCCTTCTTGCCTTTGTTAGATAAGGGCAATGGAAGAGAGACAGGATATTTTGGGAACAGAGAGTTAGGGATGACATGCAGCAAAGGGACGAGGTCGGATTCAAACCCACGGTAGCTGTGTCGAGGACAACAGCCTTTGTACAGGAGGCGTGCAACATACTGCTAGGCTATCCAGCACCCCGTGTAAGCAGTTTCTAAACTTCTTTACATATATCTAGGTGTGGACCATTTATATTTAGAATCCCTTTAAGTGCTTTGAGTGTAGAAAGGAAAGTTTTCATTTTTTTCATTCCATTATAAGCTTGCTGTGGTGGCAGTTTTTCTGACCATGGTGGTCTAATATGACGACGTGTATCAGTAATATGATATTCGTTTTATGATGTGATCTGTTGCTTGCTCTTTGAAGTTTCCACACATTCGAAAAAAATATGGATACAAAGTAAACCGAGGAAAAACAAAATGAGGACAAAGGACGCCAAACAGACGTCAAAAAGTTCTCCATTACTTCCCCCTCTCTTAACCCAGCCAGCATAGACACGCTACTGTACATCACTCATTAACACTCATGCATATACTGAAAAACACACTATCACAAATAACCAGCTTGAGATTCCAGCAGGACAAAAAAACCCAGCTCATCCAAAGACAAACACAATAAACCAGCACTTAATGACCAATCAACATCTTCACAATCCTTGACCGTGTGCTCTGCTTTACGTAAAACTGTTTTCAGTCTTGGAACAGGCAGCAGAGTGAGATAGACCGGCAATGATACAGGAGAGACCAACGTGTCATGGTAGTTATTGCTATCGCTGGATAAGACCATTTATCCACTGGAAGTGATGGATGGGGGACAGGGCAAGAACTGGTGACATTTTACTATGAAAGAACCATTTACCTATCTACAGCAAGCGGGAGTAGAAGTGTAGCCACGATGTTAAAATCACCGCCATGAAAGAGTTTAACGGGTGAAAGGAGAGACTGTCAGACAAGAAGAACAAAGTGAGACGGTCTGATTGATGGCTGGTCCTCCACGCATTTTACATCTATCCTTGTATACTTTTCTGTCTTTGTTTATGTGTGTGTGTGTGTGTGTGTGTGTGTGTGTGTGTGTGTGTGTGTGTGCGTGTGTGATACTGCATGTTTAAATTCAACTACTGCACTGTTATCAGTCTGTTCGAACAGCCGGGTGAAACTGAAAAGCTAGAAATGATCAGGTAAAAGAAATTAAAAAAACAAAAAAAACACAACAACAACAAGAAACCTTGGTAATTTTCCAACGCTACAGCAACACACACACACACACACCTATAAACACCCACACACATAAACCGAAGCGTGCGCACACAAACTCACAAAGCAGCAGAAAAGCCATCAAACGCCTCAACATATCAAGGAAGCTACAAGGGAAAAGAATCCTAACTGATAGGTCAGGAGTACAGCAGACCAAGCTATCAAAAACCCGACCTTTTGTGGTTTGTGGACAACAGCAACAGAAGGAAACACTGCATAAAAGTAGACACAAATGGAGAGAAGGAGGTACAATGACAAATCAGGAGAAAAAACTCAACACTGAGCAGATACAGCTTGGTCTGGAAAAAATACGCAGACAAACTTACACACAAAATCATCTTAAAAACCCTGTTTATATATTTATATATATATATATACTGTATATTTCAATACAACTTTCAGCTCCCCAATATACGGTTTACTGTATATTTACAAATCAGTAGGATATCTTAATTAGAAATAAATCCTAAATTGCAGAAATAACGGCGCTATTCTCTGTAGTTTAGAACGGTTCAGAGGCTGAGAGAGAGAGAGAGAGAGAGAGGACTGACAAGATTTATAATGTTGCTACTGGAGGCCTCAGAGCAGTTCATAAGATGGGGACACTGGATGGAGAGAAACAATAGAGATGGATGGGAAGGGAGGAGGGTCATGATGGAGTTTACTGGGTCCAGGTCCCTGAAAACCAGACTGTAGCAGGAGGGAAGGGTGGGGGGAAGGGGGGGGGCTGTAGGTTGGGGTTGTTGGACTGGCCGGTCAGACATTGTGTCAGTTGGAATAGGAGGAGGATGTGAATCCGCTGGTGTCTGGGTATTTTTATCTGGAAGAGATAGAAAGAGGAAAGAGCGTAAAAAAAGAGGCTTGCTTTACTGTTTAAGGGGGGGGGGGTCCTGCTTTATTGTAAGTTAAATGTGTGTTTTGGTAAGCGGACACTGTAGGTCAATTACACCCCCCCCCCCCCCCAAGCACCAAACAGAAGACAGACAAAATCAACTGAATAGCGGACATACAGTAGTATAGCATATGGCGGCAAGAGAGACCATATTTCCCTCAGGAGACAGTAAGTGGCTAATTGAATGCTTTGTGTCTGCTGGATGTGTAAGTTGACAACTTGCCTTTTAACAAGTTAGCCAAACAACTTTGTAGGGGTCATTTATGCCAAATGTTTTAAGCTGTTGTAAGCTGATCAGTAAATAGAAAGATTCAGGAATAAGCTAGATTCTCAAGTACACATCTTACAGTGAAGGACATGTGAGAGTTGCAAATAGTCAAGCTCAGTGCATCATCATCAAAAAGAGATTTAGAGATTTCCTTGCCATTTATGCAATCTGCTCGCTAGCTGTAACTTGTGGAAAATTCAGCAGCGTGCTTTGCGGAGCTCGTGATTGGTTAGACTTTTTACAGCCCCATGCCAGCCACAAGCCATATTTTATGCCATTTTAGGAGTATTTACCTGATTGATTGCTGTCAGTGTGTGAAAATGATTTTAAAAGAAAAAAAGAAAACTTCCAATCAAAATAAATGTAAAATATGTAGTGCATATTTAAAAGGATCTGTCTATACAGATAGCAAGAGTGCAGTTCAACTTCACAGTAGACATTTAAAGTTCTCACCTGATGAGCAGCAGCATTCACGGTCCAACACAACCTCAGTCCTCTAGAGCCACCATCCCTTTAACTGGGTCCTTCACTCTCATCTGATGCACACAAAGAAAATCACAAAATATACAGGAAACTGTTCCAAACTGACATTCTCCAAACGCAGGAGTGCTCATGTCCTCTCAGGACAACACAGATTGATTACATGTGTTTAGTGATTTATCACTAACTAAATTATACATGAAAACACACGTTCAGAAATCAGTCTGGCTCTGTCCTTAGCTTTTGTGCCCACCTCATCTAGCTCCTTGCGCGTCTCCTCCTCCATGCGACGAATGTCCTCCATGTTCAAGTCAATCCACTTGTCGATCCAGCAGAACAGCTGACGGTGGAAGTTAGTGAACAAACGCTTCTCTTGCTGGGAATCACAAAGACACATAAAGATAATTCATCATCTGTTTTTAGAGATTAATCTTTAATTTACAGTTAACCAACATATATTTAAATTCATACTAATTTGAGATTCTTAATTATATCCTGCAATATATTGTTTGTCCACTAGAGGCTGGTGCAGCCCAAATACAGTATATAACTTCATAGTGACTGGTCATTTCTCACTATTTCCATTATTAATTCTAGCAAGCTTGCAACATGTGAGACACTGATTGCCTTCACACCATTTGAGACATATTGGCACAGCAGTCCTTAAAAAGAACATTTACAACATCACATCCAAATATTACTGTCAGAAATCCTTCCAGAGTAGCTGACCTTAATATGTGGTGACAAACTGCAAAGTAGCACCACAGTGACAACGGTAAACCAACCTTTTGAATGAAGTTCTCCACTTTATTTTGCAGGCCCCACCACTTGAATTTAACGGTGACCAGTTTGTAGGCACACATGTGTGGGCAGTCTTTCTTGTTTGGAAGTTCCTTCTGAAAGTGCACAGACATGCAGAGAGGATTTTTGGAAACGTTAACATAGATTAATGGGATGATGTCTCCTGCTCAGCCCCTGGATCAATTTTGACTAAAAGTCAACAACAACTTTTAAAAAAACTAATTAAAAAACTCTTATTGTTTAGAGAAAGGGACTATGTGAATTTTAGGCAATTTGAGCAGTTTTCATTATCACAACCAACAATTACATTTGAAGGAAAATACTCACACCTACATATTGACTTACTTATTTGTTTTGCATGAAAATATCACAAAGTCATGGTGTGACATGATGTCATGCCTCCAAGGTTTCCAATCCTACATGGTCTAAGGACATAATTACCTCACTTTGTCTAAAGCTACATCATCGTTACATACAGCCATTTTTGTCTTTAATGGATAGGTCAGATGAATACAGACAAGAAATATTAGGAGTAGAGAGTGTTGGGTGACATGCAGCAAAGGGCCATGGTTGGATTTGAACCCATGTCTGCTGCAATAAGGACCATTGCTTCTGCAGATGGGACGCACACTCTCACCACTGAGCTAAACCAAGGCCCCAAGAAGCTGCTATTTCAACACTGAATAAGCACCAGAGTTGCTAAGTAATGGGTATCTGTGTGAGTATTTTTTTATTCTATTTTGCACATTTAGTGTTGTGTGTTTGGAGGTTTTTGTTCAGCACTGATGTCAATGGCTTCTACATGTCTGAACATACTGAGACATTAACTTCAGACCCTGTACCTTCCAGTCTGGTCCTAGAGGGCCTCGTCCTGTCTTCACTGACTTGTACCTGCAGGGATCCTCCTCTGGCTTGTAGTCCTGCAAAGAGATATAGAAGATAAAAACGGATAAAACAATGCAGCTGAGATTGAATTAGTCGTAAATCTATTGATGCAAGCATTCAAATATGGATCTTGAGCAGCAGGTCTTTTTAACCTTCGAATCCACTTGGCTTCTGTCTGCAATATCAATATAGACTACATCCACCTTCTTCCAGGTTTCTGCATCCAAACCGTGTACCTGAAACAGAAGCACAAAGCACAGGTAGATACGGGAACAAGTCTCTGCGAACAGCCAACACACAAAATGTGAAAGTGTTTTGAAAGTCAATGTGATGTAAATCAATATTTAACTTATTAGAAGAGGTCAAAACATTCATCTGCCTTTGAGCATTTTTGCAAGCAAGCAGTTTTTAAGGATGAAATAGATATTTATTTTTGGATTGAAACACTGGGGTCATTTCCCTACATCATGTACAAGAAACATTAAGCATTTTTTGATTAGAAGACAAGTAAACAGGCTGAAGCAGTGGGAAATATTGGCGGTACACAGCTACCAGCTACACGACTTGGAAAAGAAGGTAAACACCCACAAGGTGTTAGATACAGTAGAATTTAAAAATAAAGCGCTCTAGGTTTAAAGTGGGCTCTTTATTTATCACATGCATTTTTTCATGTAATCCTACATCCTTGCTCAAACACACAAATACGTCCCAGTCTTCACAGTCTTTAATAATTACATTTTCAAGGTGTCCCGTGTCAGGTTTGTGCCATGTCTCGATCTTGATCAGGAAGTTATCTTTCATATACTCGTTCTGCAGAGAAGGAGAAACAATCCAGAGTGAAGAAAAGAGAACAGCCCACAGGAAAATACGCAAGCAAGTTCAAAACCAACATAGACAGGAGTTAGTGACCCTTTCCCCCCACATACAAACACACAGAGTATCCCTGCTGCTGCTGCTGCTGCTGCGTCAATTAAATAGATCAAATGTCTTTCTCAACTTTCAGGTGAATTTGCTCCCTCTACGTGCATTCAGGCTTCCCTGTATTTGTTTTTATAAACATACATGAAATTTATAACATAAAAGAGAGAAAAAATACTTACAGTGATAACTGCAGAGCCAGATGAAAGAAAGCACAGCAGCAAACAAAGAGAAAAGACAAAAATATGGATGAAAAATACAAGAGATGAAACAGCTATAACAGTCCTGGACAGTTAAAAGTGTTCAGGGGACCTATCCAACAATATCGGTAAGTAACTATGGTGTGCAGGATTCAGGTCATGTCTTTTTATTGTCCTGTGTGGTTTGTATGAAAGATGGCTGCCTGGCAGCTCGCAGCACGTGCATGATCTCAGTCTGAAAGACTTGAGTGATTGCATGGCTCCTCTCACTGGACATACAGTTAATTATTCAACAGCTCCTTCAAGGTGACAAAGACTGCAAGACGCAGAGGGAGAAAGAGAGAGGAGCAGAGAGAGACACACACAGAGACACACACACACACACACACACACACACACACACACACACACACACACACACACACACACACACACCACACTAATACACAAATATGGATTTGCGTCCAATAATTTTAACCTTGTGTTGCATTGAGTTGTATGCATTGTGAATGTCTATATTTATAATAATGCCTGAACAATATTGAACTTAACGTATCACTTGTTATTGAACTAAGTTATGTGCTGTTATATTGCCTCCACGAAATTCACCCTGGGGGAAAATAAAGTATATCGTATCTTCTCATTTTCAATCATTATTATTGATGTGATGCAGCCTCCAAAAGAATTTTGAGATGTTATAATGTTGATGAAGACCAGCTAAATGCATCCAAAGAGTCCAAACTCAGTATGTATGTGCTACTTGATTAAGTGGTTTTTTTTTAAAGACTCGGTTTGGTCTCATTTCTGTGCTGTGCGAACGTTCTTCTCCCCTGTGACTCTGCTCTCACAGCCCTCCCCCACACACAACCCCTTTTTCTACTTTACTTTCTTTTCTACTTCTTTCTCCCTTGTCTCCTTCCTCCTATCTTATAAACATGAACCACTGGGCTCCGAAACAGAGTGCAAAGAGACGGCGCCCCCATACTAAATATCAACCCGGCCAGTTTCATCTATGCCACCTGACCTCAGCTGATCTGAGTCCATCCCACTAATCAGTCATCAACTTCTTCATCCCTCCTCTCTATCCGGTAATCCTTGCCTCATCCATCATTTCAAACCTGCCACCTAATTAATGCAATAAATATTCTAAACCATATCTTTCTTGGAGTAGTCTTTGTTATTGAATATTTATATACTGTATATTTAACTTTTTGGAATTTCCTTCACAAGTCTTGTAATAGCGGCAGCTTATGGCCCTCCGTGTCCAAACACTTTACTTATAATTATAAATGCAAACTTTGTCAATAACATTCGTGGTTGTACCACAACAAGCTCATTAACACGGGTAAAGCAGAAAATTCTTTAATCGTGAATAGATGCCATAATATGAAACTAAAACATGGACACGGCTTCAGATGTATGTCACTTATCATAATAGTTTGGTACAGAATTTTGAAAGACAATGCTTGACATATTGCTGTGGGTGTGAAAGCGTGTGTTACCTGTGCGACAGTATGGGTATGCATTCCAGGCCTTCTCGTGGATGTTCAGAGCTGAAGAAGGAGCCAACATTCTGACGAATGACGGCACTTTACTGCAGGACACAGGAGGGAAAAAGAGTCAAAGCCAGGCTGAGTTGATTGGTACTTTACTAAACAAATTTTTGCTTCATGACACATAAGTCTCTGTCGTTTTTACCCCACAAACCTGAAAGGTATTCATCTTTTTATATCTTTACAAATGGTAAACCACTCTTTAAAGAGTAGTAGGAGTCGTTTTTAGCTTACTAGACTGTATTGACTTTTAAAGAGGTGACATAATATACTGAGGCAGACAAATATATGAATGGACTGAAGCCAGGCGATGAGGCCACGAGGGAGAAATTAATGAAGTTGCCTTCCTGAGTTATGTTTCTTGGAGCTTTCTGCCTCTTTTAGTATGAAAATGAATGCTTACCTCTGCAAATGGTAGATTTTGTGTGTGTACTGTCCCTTCTCTCCATCTTTCTCATAGGGCTCATTTTTTAGCACCTCCACTCCTTCTCCTCCGCCGGTCTCATTCTTACTGGCCTCAGCCACGGAGTAGAGCTGGCCCACCTGGTACTGCAAACAGAGAGGAAACCAGGTTTGAATTTGTGTGGAGTGTGTGTTTAACATATTATCCTGTAGGTCAGTGAGCTTCCACATACATATCCTGTTTCATCAGTGCATCTATTTCAATCTTAAATTGTGGATTACTTTTTCTTCTGATCCTTTTCCTGATCCCACCATTTTCCATTTTCCCTGAATCCTCTTAATCTCCTCCATACACTCTTGTTAGTCTTCCTGTCCTGTCAACTTTTTTTTTTGACTCATTTTGTTTCCTCTTCCACAAACTGGACACTCTCAACTCCTTTCATCCTTCCTTCCTCTCATTCCCCACCTTCCGGATCCTGAGTTAGCAGCATGTGAGTGTTTCAACACAGGAACAATGGCTCCTTTCATTTCTTAATCACGTCTAATCCACCATATAACCTCTGCACAAAGCTGGAGCAGTCACAATTGTGACATCACAAAGATTGAGCAAGATGGTGTCATTTGAATAATTCTATTGTTTACATGAGATTGACATTACAGTTACATCCTCTATACTGTTACTTAATGTGGAAACAATTATGTTAAATCAAACCAACACCATATTATAGTCACATGAAGACAAACATATTATATTAAGTTCCCTGGAGTCAATTTCATCTTTAGGCTATATAGTAAAATACCAAGATAAAGCAACCTATGTCAGCTTTTCTGAAGTGCAAAAGTCATAAATAACTGCGCCAAAATATTCCACTAAAGTCAAATAGTGATTAAATGCACTCCTATAAAAACATAGAAAAATAACCCTTTAAAATCTATGCAGGAGAACCGTTTTTGTGCACATCTGCGGATAGTACAATATAAAGGCCAATACATTAAAAATGCTGTGACTTATCCAGTTTGTATAAAAAGCTGTATGTTTTTACTTCTTTGTTGTTTTTTTCTCAATAAAAGCAATAATAGTTGTATTACAAATCAATCTCTTTAAAGTCAGTCAATTTAAAGATGACTTTCTTACAAATGAACAATACACATCCTCTTTTTTAAATATACGATCTGGAGGAAAGAAGAATCGCCTTTGACGATAACTCCTGATCACTCTTAACACTGCTGTCTGTTGCCATGACTGTAGCTGCCTCTCATTATCAGTTTATTTTGTCGTTGGCAAAGCTTACTTTTTTTCAATCATACCTGAAATCATCGAGGCGGAACTAATTGCCGCCGATTACGTTTCCGGGACGTTACAAATAACCAACGCACAGAAAAAGGGCCCTCGCTCAAAAATAAAGCTCTAATGACTATCACAGAAAATGTTAATAAATAAAAAAAAAGGAGATGACGACAATTAGGAGAGCGTTCAAGTATTAGCCCCTGACAAATATTAAGAAGAATACGAGGTATGTTGAAGTGTAAGTTATTATATGTTGACGACATGCCAACAGGCTTAGCTGCCTGTTGGCCTAGCATGCAATTTATGTCCGTTTCTTGCAAATTAGCAAGTGAATGTCACGGTATGTAAATGGACTTGACCTTAGACGACGTATTATCTATTGCTGTTTTTTATTGCATGGGAAACTCAGTCTATATATATAGATACATATATCTATATATACATATGGAGAGTGTGGCGTTAAAGCTTTAATCAAGAAGTGAGCAATGAAAGTTGTGTTGCCTTGTTTTGAACTGTGTAAAGGAGCTACATTGTATGTGTTAGCTTGAGATGTTATATTGTGTAGCCCCTGTGGCTTAAATTGTAAAGACAAGCCAAAGTGTTTCTTTTTTTCATTGTTCTCTTTATATATTCACTCTCTCTAAACCCAGCTATCATGGTTTGGCCTGAGCTAAAAAGTATACCCTGTTTTTAATGAAGACCTCATGCCTCGTATTTTACTGGAAGGAGCCACAATGACTTCACAGGGATAGTGATGTTAGGCTGCATTTTGTGCACATTTGAAGCAGGACTAGATTGGTAAACCACAGATTCCCTTTTTTTTAAAGCATCCCCTCACTTTGTTCATTGCATCTGAGTCAAATGCCACCATTGCGTCACTTCTTTCAGCAACTTTTGAGTGGAGAGAAGGTGAACATAAAGAACAAATGAGTCACTTTCCGGAGACTTCTCTTTGAGCCATGACCTTTTAACCTTTGATGTGCTTTTAAAATGTTACGCTTCTCTACAGCATCAGTGATGAAAGGCAAAGAGACACAGCCTCGATAACGTGTGCCATACAGGTTTAAAGCGCTTCCCTCAAGTCCCCTTCCGGCTAGAGAAATGGATATAGGAACAGCGAAGCCTCCTGGGTAAAAACACTAGACAATTATAATTCAACTTGGCCTTTCAGGGTGAGGCCATTCTACAACCTTTCTCTTCAACAAAAATTGAGAAAGAAATCTGATTAAGCTGCTATGGGAGCTTAAATCATTACTCTCTCCGGCTAGAACAAATCATACAACATATAGTTCTCAGAAAAGGAAATGGATGCTCAGTGTATCATAATTATGTTGTGATTTTTGAAATAAATATAATAAAATCAAAATTGTTGGCAAAATTTGAAAGACTACACGTTAAGAAAATCAAATTATGTTGCCTTAATTCACAGCAGAGATAGAATGACTGAACACGACTACTGCAGAGAGTCGGGGTGTGAAGTGAAGCTCTGGAGGGATGTGATTCACTGACAGAGAGAGGCCTGCGTGCTTTCAGAAACAGGGGACGTTCCTCATCTGCATTCAGTCTCAGTCCATCAAAGAATTCTTTTTTGAATTGAGATTCTTGCATTGAATCGTGACACAACATATACGCTGCCACAATTTACCGGCCTGCAGCCTTAAAAAGAAACCTGCCTCATTGTGTGGCGGTCAGATGATGATAAAGGAGCTGCACACACACACACACACACACACACACACACACACACACACACACACACACACACACACACACACACACACACACACACACACACACACAGCAGTGCAGTTTGATAGTATTTTGATATTTCAAGATAAAGTTGAATGTAGGCTGTATCAGGTTAAACTTGCTTACAACCACTGGACAACCTGGACCAGAGCGATGCATAACCACATTCAGCACAGGTACGTGAACAAACACCTGCTGGGACTTAAGGCTGGCGATGCTAGCAATGCTAACGGTAGCCACACTCTGCAAACCAATTTGACTTTGTTTACCCACAAAGAAAAGAATGAAGCAAAGAATTCATATTGTTGCGTTAGATTTAGACAAGTCGTCTGGTCTGAATGTAAATTTCTGTTTTAATCGACAGGGAAACTAGTCAAACAGGTCAACGTATGAAGAGACGATATAAAGGGCATATGTCATTCAGGGGAGTTGTGGTGGTAGTTTCAGGTGACTCATTTACAATGCAGACCTGAATAGAAGCAGGAGTGAACTGCAGAGGTGATGGGGAGAACAGGGGACACAGAGAGAAACGAGGACAGTGACAGACTGCTGACTGTTCATTCAATGGTCTATCTGATTGAAACCAGCTGCCATCTTCAACAAGACTTTATCTCACAAGGTGATCGATGCTGTTTTGTGTTTTTTTTTCTCTGAGTAAGGCGAAAAGGTACAAAAAGTGTAGTAGACTACTACTGAAAATAAACACGAATCAAACAAATCCAGCTAAAGGAAGAGCTGCTTTACAATGACGGACACATTTCCAAATACAGTGGACCAGGAAGTAGATATCAAGAGGTGGGCCTTGGACCATGAAAATACAAACATACACACGGATATATACAAAAACAAAACTTACCTCTTCCACAGAGATAGGAAGAATCACTCGACTGTAAGAGAGGGAAAAACAAAAGAAATTAGTCAAAAGTTTTCCCATTCAGTTAACGTTGTATTATGGTGTTTCACACATGCACAAAACTCCTGAAAAACTCCTGATGTTTTCAGGGCGAGCAGCATGTGTGAACGCAAACAGACATTTTTCTTGTCCAACTTTACACAGAATTCTTGAGACGGCAGTAGGAAATATTCAAGACAATTCATCGATATAGCGAGCGAGAGGCGGTGATGACATTTATATCTTGCAACCAGCACCTCACCGGTACGATCTTTGTGCTTAGTTTTGTTTTCTGTTTGCCAGTTCTCCGCTCTTTCATTGATACTGTGAATATGTCAAACTACATGTAGCATTAATATAAAGGTAAATGACCATAGCGTTGGACTCTGTTGCTTAGTCCACCAGTATCCCAGCATCTTTTCAAATCATGTCTTGCCTACTGAGACTCCCCCTCCAGTCCGACAAGACTGTGAGGTGTATGTGTGAACAAGTGACTCAGGAGGATTTCAGGGGCTGCAAACCTGACATTTTTTAGACATTTTCAGTAATACATAGGTGAAAACGGCTTTAATTTGTTTTCTGAGGGTGGAAAGGTTTCATTTTGTAAATCTAAATATTGCAGATACATTTCTTACAATCCTTAACAGAAGATCTGGATCCAGTGAGTGTTTTTTTCGGTTTACTTTGCCTTTAGATTGAGACATGTTTTAATCAAGTAAAACTCAAAATATCTCAGTTTCCCTCTCCGTTGGGATAGTTGTTGAAGTTCTTTCATAAAAAGCTGATCTCTTCACTCCTTCTTCACATGCACTACGACTGTTTTTTTACATAAATAAATTAAGAAGTTTCCCTTTACACACTATGTGGTCGAGCCTGTTGAGCAAAATCCCTCGGAACTGTGTCACCAAATCTGTTACTATGATGAAACTCATCATGGCTTTAATTTGTTATTAATGAACTGTCACTGACCTGGATTACCACGGAGCAATTAACAGAGTGACACACTGACAACATGAACCAGAGTCTTTACAAATCAGCTCGATACACCAACAAACATGCACCTTTTCCATGATGCTGTCTCAGAGGACTGAGGAGCCGAGCTGGAGTCAGCAAATAGGGATTTGTGATGAAGGGTTAAATGAGCTCTATGAGCACTTACATGACAATCAGGCTGTCATGGTCCTGACTTCCACCCTGATAAGTAACTAAATCAAGCAGTTCAAAAGTGACTCATTTTAAGAGCATTTGTATGTTTAACAGTGAAGAGAGAAGCCTGCCTTGGAGGCCTTTCCAAAGTTAGTCACTTTTATACTGTCTGTTATGTCACATGAGCATTATTTCTGGAATAAATTCCAAAATTGACACAAAAAAAGGACAAGTCGGCCCTTAAGCTATGAAAATAACATATTTCACTTCACACTGAGTTATCAGGAGAAAATTAATGATCTATTCTTTTCTGTTCTCAGGAGAAGATGAGAAAATGCTTCACTGAAGCAAGAAAAACAGCCTGATAAAGATTAAATGCAAAAACTTGGGCCTTGAAGCCGCAATGCCGCCTAACAGATTTATCACAGTTTTGGACCTATGACAGGTTATACTTTATTTAAGGAGAACACACTGATTTTGGTGTAAGCCTACCATTATTATTATATACCCAAGAGGAGTTACAGATAATTATCTATTATAGAAGCAGCTGAGGTGCTGAGGAAATGTACCATGATTGTATTAGGATGAATTCAATGTTAATATTTTACAGTGCATCTTTAAACATTTAAAATGTTTGTTCTATTTTTTTATTTCAACAGACAGGGAAATGTGTCTGCTGTTTAGGAGACACCAGCACCTCCTACTTTGTAAAAAAAAAAAATAACCACGCATGAAGCCAACAGTGGTTGAAGTTAACCTAAAGCTGTTTAAAAGAAGCTAGCTTATGTCCACATTATATTTTATTGGTTGAATAAAGCTGAACACTAACAACCTTAAGGCACAAACAGCCTTTTGAGGATCAAGAGTTACTGTCGCTTCATATTAAGACAGGTTAATGTAAAATGTTTTTCTCATGTTAACTTGGACTGTTGGGGTATGGAGCCTGGTAACGAAGGCGTAGAAGATGCACAACACCAACAAACACATGCCACACCAGCCCTCTCTCAAAATGAGCCCAGAACACGTTTGGTTTTGTGCACAATGGCTGCATGACAAAAGGTCCACTTACAATGCAATAAAAGACCATGGTAAAACTTACACTTAGGAATATGTACACTCATATTGCTAATATGAAATATAAATGAAAGCAATTTAACAATCCATTATCAAGCAGTGGTGCACATGGAGGATAACCTTACTGATGCATGATAAGTGAATTGTTGCATCCTGTAGTAGCCAATGAGTCAATGAGACTAGTACACACATTTACTGTTATGATTGTATAAAAGTAGATTGTGTTGATCCAGAGTTAATGTTAACTAACTTCTTCAATGTGTGTGTGATTTGGTTTGTATGTTTTCTGTGATGCAGTCACAGTAAAATGTCCAGATCTGCCCACTCAAAAATACAGTATTAACAAGTGATTTTGTACACACATCCACACTCATTTTTCTTAATAAATAAATAAATAAATACAAATTATATTTAGTTGGGGTACATACTTCCCTCTTTCCCCTTGAATTAGTGTATTCTGGAGCGGCACAGTTCTCTTGTACAGTATGCAGCTTCTCTGACTGTTTTGTAACTGTGTGATGTATGCCTAAATTCAGATAATCCCAACTGCTTCCCACTCGCCACTGACTGTAATCTGGCTCTGAGTCCAAGCCAGACATCGCATGGGAGACCAGATGCTGCGAGGAAGGCAGACAGTGAAAACTGTGAGGGCAAAATGGTGATAAAGTCCCATTGATCAAACTTACAGAATGTTTTTTTTTTTTCTGTTAAGATTGACAACAGTGTACTTGCTCAGATGCTCGGCAATAAGACTTTGGTACAGATTAATGTGAGACAAATGTTTAAAAGAGCAAAGTTGAAATAGTTTGCTGAATTTAGGCCAAGTAAAAAAGGGAAGTAAAGTCACCTTAATGCTCGTTCTCCTCTTTCTCTCTCGCTCGCTCTCTCTGCAAACCTCCTTGCACTAAAGGTCTCAAAAGGAGGATCGGGTGTCTCTGTACTTCTTCAGAAAACAAACCACCCTTCTTCTCTCCTGGACATCTTGCCTGTCTCCTCATCTTCTAGTATTCTCTCTGACTCTATTAATCTCTCCCTTTCTCCTTTGTTTTTAATCACATGATATTCAGTAAAGTGTCTCCTCCAGTGCTGTGGAAAGGTGCCAGAGCTCGTGGAAGTGAAGAAAAAGTGGACCAGGAGTTATTTAGGTCAGTGGTTCAGGTGAGCAGTGCAGAGTCTGTACTACAGCTGGACATGGATCAATTCATTGTCTCTTGACCCCCATGATGGCATCTCAGTGTGTGTAGTATGTGTGTGTTAGTGTGTGAATGTGTGTGTGTGTTTGTGTGCAGGCCTGGTGGAGTGCCTCGTGTGTTGACGGTCTATAAGTGCATTCAACATTTAATCGTGACCGATTTAATTAATTTGCGGGCAGACTGCTGAGACCCAGACTCTCCCTAATCACTTCAGATCTTTAGCCATGCCATCACTCTCATCCTGCAGCTTTTGGTGCTGCCAGCCCATCAATTGATTAAATACAAGAAATGAGGACAACAATGAATGTTGGTAAATGTAAATGTATGACCATTTCAGCCAAACTCTTTACCAATATGGATTTTGTTATAATAGTGTTATCAATCTATAACAGCTTATCTCTGACCTTGGCATTTAATTACAATAAAAACCTAAAAAAAACGAGATGTCTTAATGCCAACAAGGAATCATTTTAGGCTTTTTTTTAAAGAAGAGATCAAAATGATCTGAAACACAAATATGTGGAGGAAACGAGAATTTTAACACATCCTTGACGCAAAATGAATGGAGTGCCTCCTGTCACTATGGAAGGAACCAGTGCCTGTCAGAAGTGGAAAACGAAGCATAATGTCTCATTTTTTGCACTCGAAGGCCAATATCCATCTACAATTCACTGGCCTTCTTCCAACTGCCAGCTGATTGTGAGCAGGCCTCAGTCAGCTCTCCTCACAGCACACCGAGGCCTGCAGAAGCAACGTGTGAATGTAGTGTTTAAAAAAAAAACACCGAATATTTATCTGTCCACGCACCATCCTAAATCCCATGCCACACTCTCTCTTCCTCCCAGCTGCCACATCCTCACAAATGTCTGACTGGTGCATCAAAAACTCGCCATTTGCCACTCTCTCTCCCCCCCCCCCCCCCTTAAGCTTTGCAACAACCTCCCCTACCTGCCTGACCACTCCTGCCCATCTTCCCCTCGAGCATCCCCTCTAAAGCCACATCTGCCTATCTCCGTTCCTCCACAGCAGAGGTAAATGCCGGAATGCTCCCATCAGGCGTTTCACCTTCACCGCGCATCAATAACATGGCCACAGCGGCTTATAGGGATGGACGGTGGCACGGCACGGCTCGGCGAGGCTTACATCTTTTCCTCAGCAACACTACTCCTACTCGAGCATCCATCATTGTTAGCACCGAAGCAAATTACATTTTATTATCCGCTAAAATGACAGCCTCACTTGGAGAATTATGATGGAAAAATGTGAAGGGCACAGCCATGCCTGCGCCGGCTGCTGATGCAACTACATCCGCCGCGTTTTTTTTAGGGATCTCTCGCTTTATTGAGCGGATGTTCTGAGGCGACGGAGTGTTTGATTTGCATATAAAATATTGACAGACATGTAACCAAGCAGATACAGGGCGAGGATGTCGACATCACCCTGCCTGCTCTCCTGTAATTCCACTCCAGGGCGAGACTGGCCACAATGTCAGTCCTGCAAACCAGACGGATAAACGCGCACACATCCTCTCTCTCTCTCACACACACACACACACACTCTCTCACACACACAGCTACTTACAATTCCTTTATAAGCATTTTTTGGCGGTGAAGTCAGTGAATCCCAGAGAGGAAGCAGAAGCAGCTGAATGTACAGGTCCAAAGACACAGGGTCGATCCCTCCCTCCGATAGTCTCTTCTTTCTCCGCTCGTTTCTCTCCCACCTCTCCCCCTCTATGTCATTCTACCTCCACAGTTGCTTATTTTCTTCACATTCACTTCCTGGTCGGGGCCGCGGCGCGGCGTTGCTGCTGCGCGCAAGAGCACCAAGGCCTGTGCAGAGCAGAGCACACACGAAAAAAGGGGGATTCACCCAAGGGTGCAGTGAGGTGAATGTGGGTCCGGCAAGACTAAATCACGGAAAGGTCCATTTATAGCTACCAATAAAAAAAAATACCTATATAATATTTTTTTTTTTAAATAAAGAGCCATACCACTAAACCCCTTTTCCACCATTATTCTCTTATAGTGAGGATTGACTTATGAGGAAAAAATACATTCATAAATTCAAGATACTTTTGTGTGTGTGCTGAAATGGATAATAATTAAACTAATTCCCTGCTAATGCCAGTGATTAAATAGTATTTTGTTTTTACATGTTGGTTAGGAAAAGCAAGCCTAGCCTACTGGTTAAATTTTTATTTTTCCATAGGAGTTTCCAAGAAAACATTTAAAAAAAAACAAGATGGACTAAAACATAAAATAAAGGCTTAGCAATAATACCAAAAACATGTAAGGTCAGAATCATGTAAGATTGATTATAGACCTATCAATACATGGATTCTGCCAAATAAAAAAAACAAAATGCAGAAGATTTGTGACAAAAGAAAAGGACGGAAAAAAGGTAATTAAAAGGGGAAATAATGAATGGAGCAGGCCAAAGGTACTTCCCTGCATCGTTTGTCTTCAGAGTGTGCTACACCCTCTGCGTCATCGCCGTCATAGTGACGTAGAAGCTTGGTTATTCACCATCAGAGTATATACGGGCATGACACGGGGACCACCACCGCTGGCACAGACGCACGGTGCGTCAGCTCTCTAAGCCCTTTAAACCAAGTCCTCGTATGTAATGTGATTATCTGCCTCCAGAAAGTCAAAACCGTAACATGTCCATCCATGTAGTTCATGACTGATGTTTTTTTTTTTTTTTACACACACATCACAACGACTTTCAGATAGCCCACGTTTCTAATGGTGGATTTAGTTTGTCAATCAAGCAGCAAATTTAACCACAGCGGAATCAAAGGAAGTCAAGGCTAATTTGTAGGCTTATTCTAAGGCGCTCCTCTGACCACACTTTAGTCCACCTTAAGGGTCTATATGATGGTGGTGACGCTTTACAAGGCATCACAGGTCCCTAATCCCGTCCCACGTCCCGGAGATCGCGGGATGTGAGTGCGCGAGCGCGTGAGAGAATCTAAAATTATGTAACAGCACATTGCTGCTGTATTTATAGCACATCTGTATCCGTCTGCCAACATCTGCTTATCTTTCATCTGTCTCATCTGTTGGACCTCATCTATCTATCTATCTATCTATCTATCAGCCCATCTGTCTTGTGGTATTAATAAGGATGTTATGCACATAAAAATGAAATTAGGATATAAGGTGTTTAAAGGGCTTTTCATAATAATTAAACATTTCATTCCTTTTTTGCAAGAAAATCACTTTTCTGAAATTCATTGTCTTTTTTTCCCCCCAATATTCATATTAATGCATTTTGACTCCCTTTTTAAAAAAAAAAAAAAAAGGGTACAAACTGTTTGTGGGTTAAGTTGCTGTCTACTTGTTTTTGCATTGACTTTTTAGATGCAGTGGTCTCATGCTGCCTCTTTGAACTGTGTACCTGAACACACCACAGGGGTCAGACAGCAAACAAACAGGTGACTCGCCACCACAAGGTGCAGGAGCAGCAGGTCTGTCCCCGATTCCGGTGCTGCTCACAGATCTATTCTCGGGTGTCGAGAGGGGCTGAGGTGTCGAGTGATAACGAACTGTTGGAGTAAAGTATCAGGTGGCAGAGTAGAGTGCTGACACACCTGATAAAAACATACAGTGAGAGTCTAACGATAACATCTGGTGGGAAAAATGTGAAGAAGTAGTCTGGCTGTTATCTCACTTTTGATTGAGCTTCCTAAGGACATAGAGGCAAGAGGCACATTAAACACCGCTGTCAAAGCAGGTAAGCACTTTGCATGAGACTTATATAGATAAGCTCAAGACCATTTGCCATTTACCATTTATATCTGGATGAACATGCCACATGACATTTTTGTAGTCATGTACAGTATATTTCTTTCAATTTTCTCTCAATTACTATTTTTATTTCTTCACCTGTGCTTTCAGGTAATATTTTATGACCGGTCTGCATTATTTGGGTGCCTTTGTGAGGATCTTTTTAACTGTTTTATTTTTTTTGTAAAAATGCACAATAACTTAATGTTGGTATTATACCCGTTTCCTTATTTACTACTGTGATGACCCTAAAAAAAACGTTGCTTACACTGACCTCTGATGGTGGCAAAAAAAATCCTGATATCAACTGAGTCTTTTTTCACTCAACAACAAAAAAGGTTAGAAAAAGGAAAAAAACGTACCATATGACAAAGAAAAAGTAAGGTCAAGGTTTCTTTGTCTTAGGTTTGAGTTACTTCTTCATGTAGTTTCTTTCCTTTTGGTTTCGTCACCTTAAGATCTTAGGTGTGTTAGTTAAATTCACATTTGATCTGTTGATGATAATTGTATGTACTGTATATGGTTTTCTTTTGTCGAACACTTATTTTGAATAAAGAATCCTGTTTTTTGAACTTTAAAACCTGTGTGACCTTTGCCTTGTTGATTGCTCGGTCCAAAACAGTCAAAAACTTTATTATTAGACGAGCACATTTCAGGGACTAGGCAAGAATTACATGGACACAGTTACCTTGACATGTAATGTAACTAGTGGGGGGAAAAGGAACAAGAGCACTAATTTAAAGAGACAAAGTCATCTTTATTTAACCCCACAAAATCCTCCATATTCCAACAGGAATGCCTTAAAAACAACACATCTCTAAGTCATCTTCAATGACACAAGAAAGAGCTCAATGCCAGCAGCACAGTGTGCGATGAGACGCGTGAAGCTGCCAGCACAGCATTATTTGAAAAAACATCATAATGGAAATGTGAGTGTAAAACAAAATAAATACATGTGGTGGGACTATTTTTTCTACAACAAGGCATCAGGAGAGAAGTGCTGAAAGATGCTGTCGTTGATAGTTGATGTGTGTGACATTTAAAAAAGGGAAACGGATTAAAGTGCTGAAAAAGAAGGCAGAGAAACTGAATAAAAACTAATGAAGCCACAATGATGAATACATACAAGAGAGGATGTTAAGACAGGGTAAAAAGTATGCAAAGACTGCATGAATAGTCTATATTCAAAAGGCACCCCTGAAACTCTTAAACTAAAAAATAAAGTTTTTAAAATAATTACTCGATACACACATGCACATTTTGCCAAAAATACCACGGTCAATTTTTTTTTTTTTTTATCTAAGGTTTATTTTGGGGCTTTTTGCCTTTGCTGGAGAGACAGGACAGTGGACAGAAAGCGAGAGAGAGATTAAGAAAAACTGAGGAATGACATGTGGGAAAGTAGCCACAGGTTGGATTTGAAAACAGGTCATGGAGGTCAAGGAGTGTTTGTGGTGCACAAACTAACCACTCAGCCACCAGCACCTCATACTGCAGTGAGTTCTGTACTACAGTAGTTTTTTTTACCACTATAAGATGTGAGCTTTGCAAAAAAAAAAGGAAAAAAAGCAGTCAAGTCGTTAATCTTACTCAGCAGAGAAGCATCAGCAATAAGGCTCTTCTCTCCTCCTTGTCCCTCATTAATGCCATTTAGTCCACACTTACCCTACATCATCTATTACAATATACAACAGGTGGATTCCTAGTTAGCACCATACAAAAGGTTTTACACTCAGGATGATTTAAAGTCGATCTATCATACAAAAAAAAGACAGGATAACTCATAATAATGGATTGCTCCCAGACAATAGTGAGGTTGGTTGAGATGTGCTTTTCTGCACATTTCGGAGATATTTAAGCAGTCTTTTGTTGGAAGCAGCTGCACTCATGTGCCGAGGAAATAAAAAGAGAAGTCTGAGGACTTGGGGGGAATACAGAGGACTGATGCCTCCTTCCTTTCACAGTCTTTCCTCGCTCTTGTTCTCCTTTCCACATTTCATTTTCCTCCTGAATGGATTTGTTTCTGCAGCATTAGTTCATCTTGGTCTTTTTATGGGGCATGTATGTGGCAGCCTTATTTTTGTGTGTGTGGAGACTTTTGATATTAATCAACGTATTCAAATGTGAAATTCTCTATAGTTAGTTAAGATTGCAAAAGTTCATTTGAATGTGAATGTGTGCAGATTTTACTGAATGTTTACCAGTAAAACCAATCCTGATACTCTTTCTCCACGTCTCTGCAGCCAGAGTCCTCTACACGTAGGCCTCGGGGATGTCGGTGCCGTTGATTTTAATGTAGATCTTAGCGTCGTCCAACTTTTCTTGCTGCTGTTTGTTGAGCGTCCGTCTGTAGCAGATCAGGTAGAGGGGCAACAGGAAGCCCAGCATGCTGAGAACCAGGAGTCCAATGTTGACCTATGAGATAAAGAAAAGACCGGAATCAGACTTGCCTGAACATGTGTGATTGTGTGTTTTAATGTGTGTTGAGTGTCAGTGAGCTTTCATACCCAGAACGGGTCTCCCTGCAGGGGCCCCATCATGGCCAGAAACAGGGGCTGCTGCAGGAGGGCGAACACAGCACTGACCAAGGACTGCATGCCTGTGAGACTGCCGAACTGGGAGGATGGATACCTGGAGGGACAGAGGAGGTGAATTAAGATTCACAAGTAAGATCGAGAAGGTGATGATGTGTGTGTGTGTGTGTGTGTATGTTTGTACATTGAGACTTACACAGCAGCATAGAGGCCGCCAACAGCAGAGTGGACGAATCCTCTCACCACAGTGTGTAAGAGGAAGGATACAATCTGAGGATTAATGAAAACAGAAGAAATCAATATTAATAATGATGGAAAAGAACGACAATGCTGCATTTTTTAACGTCTCATTAAACTTCCTAGACAGCTAAGTTGACGTGTCAAAAGTAACATCCACCTTTATGACATCAGAAAAGTCACTTTTTAATCAGCCTTTTAGCTGTTAGTTTGGTTTTTGATCTGTAATGATTTCCTTGTAAGTATGCTCTGCTTTCACAAGTTAATAATATAAACAATGTTAATAAATACTCTTCAGGCTAGAAACAGAGGTGACTTTGCTAGATTGTCAGTTGTATCCCTGAAGCACTTTTTTTTAGGTACTTGTAAACGTAAAGTCACCCCTGTGGTTAAACGTTTTTAGAAATCTGACAGCAGAAGGGGACAACTCACCTGCAGGGGGAGATTTGGCACCAAGCTGGTGATCCCAAATCCAACCAAAAGGATGTTTGTGAGGAGGAAGGCTCGCAGGGCATTGGTCACCTTCTGGGTCTTTTTGTCTCTGCGCGTTTTCTTTGGCTCGCCCCTAGTTGTCAAAAACAACACAAATTATTTTGAGGCAATGATACCTGAAGTTTTATTTCTTTCTTTTGCACTTTAAAAAAAAATCATCATTTACAGTAATGTCTGGGCCTATTAATGGACATGGGTCAATGTAGTCTAAAGTAAAAACCGGAGCCTGACTCACTTGCTGCAGGGCTCTTTCTCGTCCTCTCCGTCATCACAGTCCTTTAGCTTCCAGTCCATGATCTGACCGATAACAGGCGTGGTCATCAGGCAGAGGAGCTGCAGCACGCCGAAGATGGAAGAGTACAGACTCACTGAGGGAAGGATCAGAATGAAGACAAAAAGAGGTCGTCAAAAGGAGTAAAGAATAAAAGTAAACGTAAAAAAACCAAAGGAAGGTTTAGAGGAAGGATGATGGAGAGTTCAAGTCCTTCAGCTACCAGGTTAATAACTACAACAGTAGTTAATTATTAGTCCTAGACATCAGAGCATTATTGACTAAAGCTCTAGTGGATAAGGAAAAAAAACGTCAATTCGACAACTCTATGTGGGGATTTATGACCTGGGGAGTAATGATCAATGAAAGGTGCGTCATGTGAAGTTCCTGTGAAAAGCATGTGCTTGGGGCAAAGTTAGTTAATGAGTTAAAAAAAGGTATTTTGTAGTTATTGACTAAAAGGTCAAATAATGAAACAACTACACGAGCAATCTTAAAAGCCAAGAAGTACTTTGATGGAAAAAACTACAGACTAGTTAGAGGTTAAATTCTACTTGATGTGAGATGATCTGACTAACAGAGTTTGATCTTACCGACTTCCATTTTCTCCACTGAAAAAAATCAAATAATAGCCAAGTGAGACCGCTGCTTTTAAATGATGAATCAAAGTTACAAAACAGTCTCATGAGACACGGCAAGATAAACACAACAGCACTGTGTTTAATTCATACTGACCGACGTAGATACTCATAACGAAAAGCAGTGAGCCATACCTGTGTTGAAGTCTCGATCAGTGAGGGCCTCCAGGACGCTGTTCATCGCTCCCATGTAGAATAAGAGACGAAGCTGAGTGATGGACATGGTGACCAAACTGAGCAGGAAAATGGGGCTGGAGATAGTTTTAAAGAATGACGGGGCTGCGGTTGGGAAACAGAAACAAAACATTGGGTAAATGATGTGCATCAGATTCATGATTATGTTAACATCCTGAGGTTAAATGTGCAGAATTCTGCTCTCTTACTCTCTTTTTGCGTCTTGCTCTCCATGTCCAGGTCCATGGTGGACAGGCAGAGCTTGTGTCCGTCCTTGGTAGCCAGCTCCTTATGCTTCAGGCTGTTGCCCACGCTGAGGCGACTGCCCACTGCGGTCACTTGGCGGTAAAACTGCTTTCCTGTGATTTTATGGTCAAAGCCCAGCCAGCTGAACTTGATCTTCACACTGAGAAACCAGAGGTGGAGAAATGGATTAGAAGGAGAACATTATATGGAAGAAGGGCACATTGTTTAAGGGAGGGGAGGAATATAAAAATTGTTTAAAATGAAAAAATATAATTTTTAAGGAAATCGTGACATGTTGGAAACTTCCTGATTTTACCAGACTTGCACAAATTAACTAGAATGTTTTTTTTTTTTGCACACAAGCAGGTCAAAAGTGTGATTTTGATTAAAAATGACTAATCACAGGGATGATTCCCTTTCAACAACTGCAACACTCAGCAGACAGACTTTAACCTGGCTTCAATATGTTTGTCACATATTACATAACTGTCAGCACTACGGTGATGATAAAGAAACCTTATACTTTGGAACAAACGACACGCTGCTGATACTACAGTGCACAAAGGTATCACACACTTACTTATATGGGATTTTACTGCCAGTGCTATCTGTGTGTGTGTATCTGCGGTACTCACGTGTAGTCCATGTCGTCGGGTCCTGGGAACGGTTCCAGCGGCCAGTTGAAGAAGCAGTTCATGAAGACGAGTCCAGCACAGGCAGCCCACACCACCAGGATGGTGATGAAAGGTATGCCTAAGTCATAGATCACCTGTGAACATAAAAAATAATATATGATGCAAAAGTACAAAAACCAAACACATGGACCCAAAACGCTATCCAAAGAGTGGATACATCCACCCAGAATGCAGAGTCATGCGACCCTCTTCATGTCTTAGTAAATTGAAATAATTAATGCAAAAAAATGTTTCTGGATCAACATATGTAGCACTATTAACAGAGCAATGCTTGCCAGACATTTCAAAATACAAAAATACTGCTTGGTTATACTTATATGGGTTAAAACAAGAAAGGATTGGTAACGTTCCAGGTTGCCTGTTGTACATGATAATGTCAACAATGTGCGATAAGATCATCCTTTATTCATCTCACAACTGAGACATTTAAAGTACAGTACAAATTTACACAATACAGATGTATTAGCCTATAACTTTTGCAGCATGCAGCTAAGAATAACTGTACATAGCTCAGGGCATTCAAGGAACATGGAAATGTGTGTAAAATACAATTCTACAATTCACTTAGCAGATGCTTTTATCCAAAGCGACGTACATCAGAGAGTAAAATACCCACAATTTGGCGAACAATTTAGGAGAAAAATAAGAATGACAGAAAACATTTCTTGGTTAATATGGTTGGATAGACACTGGATGGTTTTAGCTTTTACTGTTTGGTGGTGTGTCAGTGAAAGCGTATTTTACCTTAACACCAGGGAAGGTGACAGCGGAGGAGGCATATGAGCCGATCATCAGGGCGATGAAGGTCGAACGAAGGTCCCCGAACATGCTAGGGAGCTAGAGAGATGAGAGAGAACGCTTTTAACATCATCACCTCATTTTTACATGACAGGAAAGCATACGCACAAATGTGCAAGTTATTCCATTGTGTTTCTAAGTATAAAAGTTAGACCATCTGCTGCCAAGTTTTCTGGTGATCTCAGCTGCTCTGAGCCTGAGGCCGGTGGGACAGATTGGGGACACTGTGAGGATGTTGCCTACTGACACTAAGGTCAGAGAGGACTGTAGGAACCAATTAGCAAGCAGACACGGGCTTCAGAAAAAAAACATCAAGGGAGTTTTAAGAAAACAAACTGACACAGGTCACCAGTTAAAGACACACAGCTGTCCAACAGTTCACAAACACAGCACTGATGCATTCAGATGGGGGTGACTGAGTTGAGGGTAAGTTTTCCTTTTCTCTGTCTTTACTACCGTTTTGGGAACGAGAACAGAGAGTTGAGAGAAAAACAGACAGTGGGTGGCAAAACATCCGAAACACAAAGCCTTTCACAGGCAGTTCTGCTTTCAAGAGGCTGAACAACAACAAGCAAATTCAATTATGTAAGACTGGGGAAGCTGAGGAAGAGGTTTTTCTGAATTTGCGTGTGTTTCTCTGCTTAATTAAGAAAGTATTCATACTGAAGCAGCCAAGTTACAGTAGGCAACAAAAACACCAGAAGTTCTTGGAAGACTGTTTCCAATATACCCTGGAGCAAAAACAGAGCTGTAGGTCAAAGCTGAAATAAAAAGGTGACCTTACAGCTGACATTGGCACAAAGTCAATGGCTGCCGCTGAGATATTACCCAACCGGCCTCAGCCTGTAGCTCTGAGGTGGAGTCATAATTAAGGAGTCGAGGAGCTGCATAGAGTCTAATGATTAACCCAACACCGAGGCTGTAAGAATTTTTTCCCAGGTTTTGGGGGACATGGGAGTAAAAAGGTATGCAACAATCCCACATAGGACATATCGTACCTCACAATAAAAGTCCATGGTGGTATAGAAAAGGGGTGTTTAATTGGGTGATTTACTGCTGTAGAGCCCCTCTCTAGTGAACAGCATCACCATGGTACAGCTCAAGACTCCGGGCTGAACTGGTAGAAAGAGAAGGCAACAGTAGGAGGAAGAGCAACAGGAGAATAGTGCAGAGGAATGGTGAGGGGCTGACCCTGTCTTGGTCAACTCTGGGCATTTTATAGCACATCAGTTGTTTTTTCTGTTTCTGTATATCTGTGGATGCATTTCTTTTTTAAAGGGGCACTACACAAAGTCTTTCCACATTCCTCTGGAGTACGAATTTACAGAAAAAACAAGATCTCTGCGGCAAAATACTGATGTTCTGATTAAGTCTGGTGGCTGTAGGCTGCATAAGTTGCTACCTGATACTGATTCTATGTTTTTAATGATTATGTTTTCATGTTGTTCTTTTTTTAAATTTTGATTTACATTGAAATTTATCAGAATCTCTCATTGGCCGCTTAACCTGTTCCTTTTTATGGGGATGCTAGTTACACTTGGGAAATTAGTTGCTTACTAGTGATATACGTGATAATTGTCTTCTGTATGTGTGTGCATTACAGTAAGTGCATGTTTTTGTGTAAAAAGTCAGAGGAGTTGAGCAGCTCAAAGCCAAACAGTTGCTACAATGTTCCTGCTTAAGCCGTTAAGTCATGCAGAGAAAAGTGACAAGTGTTTTGTTAAACTCAGGTCTCAAGACAAACTGCCAGACAAAAGGTTAGGGTAGTGAGCAGGCAAGGAACCAGCAAACTATTATAGGAGAGCATGAACAAAGCCCTATGAAGTTAGAAACCATACATCTCGCCAACACGATTCAAAGACCCTGAGGATTACAGGACACACACTTACCGTGAGAGAGGTGAAGGTCATGCACATGCCTCCAAAGCCGTTAAAAGTCAGGGCGATGAAGATAAGGACAGAGAGTTCTGCAAATGGCACAGATGTTAGCTTCCAATTCTGCAAACAGCCAAACAACCACTGAACATTGCAGAAAATGCTGGAAAAAAGTCCTCTTAAGGTAGACTTACCATTTGGTTGGTAGGCTCCATAAGCAATGAGTAGACAGGAAAATCCAAAACAAGTGCTGAAAGGAGAGAAACACACCAAACACTGGGGGTGAAAATCAAAGTTTCAACCATACCACTGCCATGTTTGCATCTCAAAAGTTTGCAACATTTTTCGAAAAATTCCATTTACACGTGTCTTTTCTTAAATCAAATCTTAATTTCTTGTCTCCTAGAGCCTACCTTCCCAGCAGTCGTAGCTTGCGAGGCCCGTATTTGTCCATGACGATCCCCAGCGGCAGCGTGATGGCGGAGAGCAGGAAGGAGCCCACCGTGAACGCCAGGTTCAGCATCTCGTCTTGCTCTTTACAAATCAGCCAGCCATTCATCCTCAGGGGCCCGTCCATGGGGCCCAGGGGCCTTATCTCCACTCCGTCTCCAACACCAACCACACCACCCTCGCTTTCATAGTAATCAACATACTCATCGGTTACAGGGGTTTCCAGGGGTATGGACATATTGTAGCTGGAGCTGTTACCTAAAGAAGAAGATGCAGCAAGAGAAGATGAGAGGTTGGATACACAAAATAGAAACCATGTAGGCGGACACAAATGATTTAACCTCCCATGTCTTATTTAGTCTTACTGATAGATTTATATGAGGTAAAAGCGTAAAAGACCGCATGTCAGTGTAAGAATGAGGTCAAACGTGCCATCTTTCCGTCTGGTTTAGCATGAAAGGAGCTGTGGGTTCTTGTCATACAAATACCAAGATGGCAGTTCTGCTTATTCACAGGATCGTGATATATCAACAGAGAGTGGCTACTCGTGTAGTCGACACGTGCAGAGATGTGTATATGGGGGAAAAAAAGCTGAAGTAGTAACCCACTATTAGAGGTAGGGTCAGACAAATACACGTGTCTTGCCTGCCATGCAGATAAATCAGAAATACTTCATGTGTCCGCGGGGGAATTCAGGCATTGCAGTTTGCTCTTATACGGAACATAGGTGTAAATGTGTAAAAAATGGAGAGAAGTAAGAGATTTTTTAATATATGTGATCTATGCATTATACACCATAGAAGTATACCACACAATACAGAGCAGTAGGAATAGACAAGAAGTATAATCCATTGAAGGCCCACAAAGACCCCAAAAATTAGACGAGTCATACCTGTCTATTTTTTAAATAAATGACAAGGATATACATTAATTGACCCTGAGTTTAAATTTCACTTTATTATCAGAAGAAAATGTAACTGACGGGTCTAAAGGGATCAGCAGTTTGGGAACTTTTTTTTCTCATGTACAGTTTGTGGTCTCTCTGTGGTTTCATCCGCCAGACCTCTTTGTAGTCACAGGAGTATGGCTATAGCAAGTATGGCTATAGCATCCCTGTGTGAAACACAATGACGCCCTTGATAACAAAGTGCCACAGTATATTTCAGGAAACGAGAGATTTCACTCCATGGCCAATCAGCCAGGTGGTGTCCATGCACGTGCAGATGATGCACACCGACACTTGGAAGACCTGGCAAGAGGATTTTCTTGTAATGGCCTTTCTCTGATTCTTCAAATATATTTAATATTTATTGCGTGAATCTTAAGACAGCTGACTCTGTGTTGTGTGTTGGCACGTATCATAGCAGGGCTTACACTGGCTACAGCTGATGGATACCAAACTACAGTATGTTTGATGTGCTGATTATTCTAACAGATATGAATTTGTGGAAAATACAATTTGATAATTATTAATTAATCTCTAAGCCTTTATGGAACTATTATTTTAAAGGGGACTTAAAGGTTATTTCTGAACTATAGAGGTGCAAGGCATTCTGGGATGTCGTTTGTCTTCTTGCACCCATTGAACCACACATATTAAACTAACTTCTAACTAACCCTCTAATATCTCTGCAGTGTTTCCAAAATAATCGTAATCTACACGCTGCTGCATCATCATTATTCTGTTTTTCACCGTCAGCCCTCACAGCGGTCTGTTCATCACTCTGCTATCTGTGTGTCCTTCATCTGAGGACTTTGCACTTCCATATTACAGTAATAAAAAAACTGCAGAGGATCTCTCTGACTCGCTGTCACGTGTGTGGAAAGAGCTGAGCTGGTGCTTGTCCTCTCCTTCTTATGTCATCAGAGCAAGATAAGACGAAGAGAGCGAGTGCTGCAGGATGTCACCTACAGACGATTATGTTCTTTCGTTACTTCTACTTTCTACTAACACCTCGCATTGGTGCTTCTGCTAACTAATGTCAGCAAGTTTTGGCTATCGGCTGTTTGTGATTCGAAATAAGAACAAAAAAGGAACAACTGCCAATTCAAAAACATAATGCCAGACAGCTGGAAAATCATCCTCATGAAATCCTCAAATTAATGTCTTAAACTCGTATTTACCCTCACAAATAAGAAAAACCTCATTGCATGATATAAATGATCGGTAATGATATAAAGTGCAATAAATGATCCACTATTAAAGAACGCGTACTAGCTACAACTCTTAAGTTTCAGTGCCGACTTTTCTCCGTATTGGACAATGCCTTGTTTCTCCTCAGTCCAAAATAAGTAGCTATTCCCCCAACTGGCACCGATTTGTTAATTCCATCGGACTCAAAAAGGTGTGAAAGTATTGCTTTTATAGCACAGCCAATGTATGCTTAATGATTAAAGTATAGCATCTATATAAATTCATAAATTCATTTTTGCAAATGTATTGCTGTATATTCAGACTTTTGAGATGTGTTGGCAATAATGAAATCGTCTTAGAAAACCTAAGTAAATTCCCAACCAATAGTTTAGTGTCTTTTGGATAAGTGGGGCTCACGACAGACATGTGAAAGGACACGGTGTCACCTGAGGTGCAGAGGATACTTCTGGGCTGATTCCTCTCTAATTCCCTTAGTTTCTCTGCTATGAGAATGTACTAAGCTCATCCTGTGCATATATTACACCTCTATATACTCTAAAACACAGAGACATTCCTGACTTGGCTCAAAATGTTGGAAGCGGCTAATCAATTGTGTCTTCAGTTTGTCAGTTCATATAACATACGTGGAGCCACTGGAGACTTTTCAGTCTTAAACTTTGGACCTCTTCGCCAATCTGCTACCTTGCTGTCTCTTTAAGTTAAGTGCTCAGGTTTTATCTCCCAGGTCCATAAAAACCAGCTTATAACCCTGTTAGTGAAAACCCTTACTCTTACTGGAGAATGAGAAAAAAAGAAGGGAGGCAGCAGTGTTACATAAGTCTAATTAAACTTTTCAGGAAGAAAGGCAAAAGTTATGATGGTCAGGGCTATTTTCTTAACTTTAAAGGGAACTTTTGGTACAGGAAGGTGGCGGATAAGAAATATGAAGTGACCTGCAAAGCATTCTTTTTCCAGGCCAGAAAAACTAAAATAAAGACTCACCTTCCTCGTTGCAGAGGTACGAGTAGAAGCCCTCTGACTTCAGCATGATGAGGAGAGATCCCCATCCCAGCAGCACAGCCGAGAAGAGCAGATTCTCAATAATGGCAGTCACTGCCATCCACCAGCGCCGGCGAACGCTGTGGCCAGGGTCGGAGGCATGGCGAAGAGGTAAGAGGCAGAACCAGAGGAAAGAAATATAGAGAGTGGAGGGGGATAGACGGCCAAAGGAGGGAGCAAGTTGGAAGTGCAGAGAGACTCCCTGGACTCACGCTCAGAATGAACGATCACTTATCTGTGAAGACAAAGAGGAAGGGGAGGTTTTAACAGGTAGGCGATCAGTGATGTAACAAAAGGACAGGAAGGTTCAATCAGCAATCAACTTTGAACTTTAGAGATCATTAAATACAGTAAAAATAAACCTGTGATACCTCTCAATTCATTTACACACATGCTGTGGCTGCTTTATTACTTCGAATTCTCCCTATAATTAGACACAGATGAGAGGCTAACTAACTAATAACGGCAAAAGATGGAGAATTATTAACTGTCCTGCTGGTGCAAAGATTATCACATCACCCGGTTGCCTGGACAAAGATCTTACATCACATTACAGACGCTAATAAGCGAGGAACATCCATCACAGAGATTCTGCTGTACACTGTAAATGGCTAACTGGTCCAAACTGGACTCAAGAGAGAAAAATAGGTCTCTCTCCCACATGGCCTCCCTCTTTCTCTCCCACATGGCCTCCCTCTCTCTCCCTCACTCGTCCCCCTCAAGTTCTCTCGGACTCATCCAACCGAGACTTTCCTCTGCAATTACTGTTGTGCATCCAAAACATAAAGGAGATGTCAAACAAACAATAAACAAATCTGCTCACACAGCCAAGGTCTCTCTCTCTCTTTCCCTGTAACCAACACACAAACACAATTCCTGCACAAACACCCACACACAGGCTGTTCAACTGGTAACCTAATTGTTGCTGAGTTAGATGTAGATCTCTTGGAAATAAACAACTGACCAACATAGTCATTTCAGCTTTTGTAAGCAGTGTTGTTGTATTTTTTTTTTTTTTAAAGGAGAAACAACTCTCCCTGATGTTATCCATGATGTTCTTACATTGAAAGTAATCATACATAGCCAGATGAAATTCAGTCCAAGCAAAGAGCAATCTTCCTCACCTTTCCAGTTTGTGTGAAGAACCATCCAGCTTCAGATCAGTGAGCAGTTGTCTGAGAACAGCCAGGTTTATATACTCTGTGTCCTCACATGGCGCCCCCTATCGACTGATGGCGGTGCGACGTGTGCACCTCAGCAGCCAGGGCACTTAGTTTCATGGAATCAGACACAGTCGTGAAGGATTTGGACCATTTTCTTTTGTAGAATGTATGCTACTATTCTTTCTGTCAGTAAAATAAAACATGTATTAATGAGAACTTATTTAATAAGGGCTTAATAGGAGTCAAAGTGCGAAAGGCTGAGTGGAAGGATTAATCAAGCCAAGCACAGTCTCCTTGGAAAAACATGAAGGACTTGTACAGATAAAGACAATGATGTGTCATAGTCTGGATCAATATGAACAGTGAACCAATAGTGAACCACTGTTTCAGCGGTTGCACAAATTTGTTGTTTGCTGTTGTGTTGTGTTCATTGTTTATCGGCCATGAGATACATAAACAAGCACAAACTGAGGGACAACCTCAGTTGATGAGCCTCCACTTTCTGACAAAGTCCATAAAAACCAGCTGCATCCACACATACCTGAAAAATGAGACTTTTTCTGCTTGCCGAAGTGACACGATAACATTTTTTGCTCAAATGTTCTGCTGTTGTTTTCAACACATTGAAGACTTAATCATCGGTGCTGCATTCACGTGATTCAGACATAATCAATAATGTGATGATTCGCTCCTTTTGACTGTAACTTAGACAATTTAAGTTTGAACTTTTAATTTTGTATAACATACGAATTTGAATGTAGCCTATTTTTTTTATTTGTGCAATTCCTCTACGCGTCGAAGAATATTTGAATCCAATTTAAAAGTAGGCTACGGTTTTTTTTCTCGAGGTTGTTTTTTCAGTTCGCAGCCTCTTGTTTGCCCACTTCCAGAGCGCTACTCTGAAACAGTAATCATTATGCAAATCGATCACTCAGTGACCAACTGTGATCCTATCCTCATAAACACTGATGTGGTAATTAGGGCTGTTACTGTGATCAATAGGCCAGATTTAAGGCAAAAAAAAACGTGTTTCAAATGTAAATGCTCTCTAAATCTGTCTGTTGGGATGGGGGCATTTGACCCATCCACCATCGCAGATTAGTCAATCAGCCTGTTTGATTACCAGACAGAGGATTCCCATTCCCATTTCCAAACACTGACTTTAACTGCTTGTAATCACGATTGCAGTGTTTAATTTCCTGCCCCTTGTCAAAGCATTATTGATCTGATCAGCGCAGATGTCTGAGATATTTGCCACCAGATCACAGCTGCATGTTCTTGAGTGTGGTCACTGTTTTTATAGATTATTTTAATGTCATTGTAAATTGGATTCATTAAAACCTCCTACGTGTTTGAGACAAATGTACATTTTGTATTCTGTATTTCTCTATAAAACAGATAATCAATTGATAAGTCAATCTTTTTTGAGCCCCCCCCCGCCCCCACACACACACACACACACACACACACACACACACACACACAAGCTATATGCCTTATAAAAAGAAAGTTGTTGTTTTATTAATAACATTTTTTTCAAATTGAACTAACGCCACCTTGTGGTGCCTTATGAGGCTAGCAGGCAAAAAAAAAACACCACGTCGATACAAAATAGTTAAGTAAATGTCTTTATTGCACATTTATTAATGTTACGAAATATTTGGTAAAGCTGTGCATTGCAAAAGCAGCAAATCAAAATGAAACACAGTGCAACACGCCAAAGAGGCAACATAGACACACATCTCAAATATAAAAGGCTTCTTGTTTTTCCTAATAAAATAAAGCAACTCTGAACTTTACATGTGACTGTACTTCTCTTTGATATACTTTGTCTAGCTTCGACTTTGCTTGATATTTACATAAATAACTTCCATGCAACAGTGATTTTGTCCCTGGATTTTTGAAGTGCATTAAAGACCACTGCTGTGGTGACACAGGCACAGATCAGAGTCGGAGTCCCTTCATAAGTGAAGTCCACCTACAGCCAAAAGACCGAGAGCCAGCGAGAACAGCAGAGTCTTTCTGGAGCCTTCAGTTCCAGCTGCTGCAGCTGAAAAGACAAGAGGTTTCAGAAATGTTTTCCCATGACATGTCGTAGAGTTAACAACAAAATCTCATAATCCTAAATGCAAAACCTGAGTCAAAACCTACTCTTTGTCTGTGCTGTATCTAAATGTATTTGTTGCATTTAGTATTACAAAATTGTTAAGAATGTTGAATGGGACTTTTTTACATGACACATTTTAAAAACAATGGAATTTAAGTAATCGTTCATCAAAGTTTAAATAGTCAAGAATGTATCTTCTGAACAACAACCTTCAAGTGTTGCAGCTTGAAAGAAGAGCTTGACCCAAATGAAAACAATTTCCCAATACTGTACCCACCAGGCAAAGAAAGATAACTTTCAACAAAACATTCCACATGCATGACTCAACAGCTCAGACTCAGCCTGATATCCACTGTGCAACTTCTGATCAGTGTTGAACCAGACGAGAGCAGTGAAAAGCATTATGTGACTGTGACCATGAATACGTGACTATCAGTATTGCCTTCGCATGTTTGACCTATTAACCTATGAAACAAGCATGTTGAGTCATGCTGCTGTGTCTGCCAAAGATGTTTTTGTGTTGTATGAGGTTCCAGGCAGTCATTGGTTTCTTTTTGTTTCAATAAAACCTTGAAACATGCTACAATATAAACTTTGACAATATTCAGAGAGTAGCTATAAATATCGCAGTAAACATCGAGACTGCAAACATTTTTTGTCACCATGACATTTGTCAGTTGTAACTATGATGCTTCAGAGAGTTTTGAAAACACTCTGCACTTTAACTGCAGGACACACAATAATAAATGATATTTACCAAAACTAACACAAACATGATGGACTGCCCAACCAAAGCAAGTTTCATAATCCACTGATATATTGATGAGCTACACATAAATGAATGGAGAGGAATGCGAGTCTAAATGGAGAATCCAAATACACGATATGGTCCTCTAAAGTTGCACAAGGCAAAATAATAAGCTTTGATTTGCTGGAAACCCCATTCATTCGTCTTACACACACCCCATCCCTCACATCCCACCCCCACCCTGTACACATAATGAAATTATCCTTTCACGCAATCTAATAATTTTCAGATCTAATGTTAACTGCAGCCATAATTTTGCAAGCCCTCTCTAGATTGATCTCTCCCTGTGTGTGTATCTCTTCACAGAACGATGTGGATAAAGTTTCTTCCTCCTGTTTTCTGTGATGGATGAAAAGCTGGTATTTGGACAGTCATTGTCCTGTATTCACTGACTTCCCCTTTACCTACCAGCCATGTCACCGATTGTTCAGTAGATATTATAATAAGCTTCCATACTTCATTGAATTTTGTTTTACCTTGTTATTCTCTTCAGATTATGTCTATCTATATTAAAATAATATCTCATCATATTCTCTACATATATGAAGAGAAGGGGCCTGTAGAGTTATTCATCTGTCCAGATATTTAGGTAAAATGATTCACTTTCAAATAAGGTTGAGATGGAGTAGAGTGTTACATAATATCTAAGATGATTTAAATTGTCTTTATAAGAAATCTTGATACAATAATATTTAATATTAAAGCCAAATTAGTGACAAAAATACATGTAAAAATAAAAAAATATTAACAGAGGATTGAAATACTGTCATTAATTGTCCCAGGTTGGGCATGTGTGGTTCTCCAATAATCTGTGCATCATTTGATACCAAAAAACAGATCTTACCATTGGATGACTTTTCTGTGAAGAAAAAAAGGTAAGATGTTAGAAAAATGATCTTCAAAAGATGTTCTTATCAATATAAATATGAAATGAATGGATGTACCGGTACTTGTCATCTACACACATGCTCCTGCCCGCCCACACGTACCTTTGATGGTGAAAGTGGTCTCCATGCCAGCATGGATGTGGTCGGTCACATGACAGTGGAGCAACCACGTCCCCGGGTTCCCCGCCACCATCTCAATGGTCTGGAAAGTCCCGGGGAAGAGGTCGAAGACGTCTGCACGGTGCGTGCGGTCCGTCTTGTACAAACACAAACACGAAGAACGGACATGCAAATAGACACACAGCACAACAGTAAATCAAAGGAGAACACATAAAGGGAAATAATCTCTTGGAAAAGAAAATGTAAGAGGAAACTTCCTGTGTAAGAGGTTTTCATGCCAAGGTCAACTTCAGAATATTATGATTTGATTTAATCCAAACACCACAGTTCTACACCATGTGAATATATAAGGATGGGACATTTTCTATGCTGCTGCAAAACCTTCTGATAACACCTATACTTATCTTTATATAAGAAGATAAAAAACCTTTTCCTGGTTATTTCTTTAAATAAAAAATCAAGAGGTGTTCACTCGGTTTGGTTGCTTGTGTACCTTGTAGGTAAAAGTCTCAGCGTGGAAGTGAACGGTGTGCATGTCCACCTCGTTGCCCATGCCGAGCAGATACCAGTCAACCTTCTCGCCCTGAGTCATGACCAGTCCTTGCAGGTTACCGTACAGCTTCCCATTGATCCCTTCAAAAGAGACATTCACAGACACATAAATGCTGACACACCAGGAAAAGATATATATTTACATTTAGTATAAACATGTTCAAAGTTGGTTATACTGCTAATTTTACATTTACTGTGCATAGATTCATTTAATTAACTTGAACCTGTGTAAATTGTAGCGAGCGTCAGTGAACATAAATCATGTATTTAAACCAACGTTGTTATATAATAAGCAATTTTATATTTTTTAAGGATCCTTTGCACTCCTCACAATTGCTTCATAGTTCAAGTGTCTAAACTTGTTAGAGTTGTATTTCATTACACATACTTTTTTTTTTCAAGATATATTTTGGGGCTTTTTTATGTCTTCATTTTAGAGATAGAACAGTGCAAAGAGTCAGAAACTGGGGAGAGAGAGTTGGGAATGACATGCAGGAAAGGAGCCACAGGTCAGATTTGAACCTGGAACGCTCGCTCTCTAGGACTAAGGTCTCTGTACATATGGGCACCAGCACTAACCGTTAGGCTACCGGCGCCCCTTCATTATACTTTTTAATCTTTATTTACTGTATATCTGTAGGCCTCTTATAGTAAAATACTTTTTATGTTATGTTTTGTTGAGCTTTTTTTTCCTCTTCTTTCAAGGATGTGATCATTGGTTCTGTATTTAAAATGAGCTCTTATCATGATGATTTATGTCCAAGTGTTAGTTATTCTGATTAGTTTACATTTAATTATTTATTCAATTAAAGGTAAATGCCATGATTGACAGCTCTATTGATAAATGCAGCTCCTGCAGCACTGTGTGCACCAGATTAGCAGAGTAGACTATGAACCGAGAGTGAAAACCTAACAAAAACTAACACTGGAGTTATGAACTTTCTTTAACCACGAGTGTCTGGACCTTCCACACCTGAGGGATCTTTACCTTTATAGCGGTAAAAGAAATGTGAGTTTTTGTAAGTGAAAGGAGCCGGACTCCAATGACTTCGGCAGAGTTTTCTGCACAACTCTGGCTCCAAATGATGTAACCAGCATAATGTTAGCAACAGTCAAGGGGGTACTTTGGCTTCATATTTGTTAAACAGGATGAGGTGGAGATGTGTCATCCATCATTATACTGTAAACAGTAAAAGGGTACACAAACCTAACAAAAAAACAAGTAATTCTGAGAACTTATTCTCACCATGCATCAGGTTACTCTCCTCAAAGTCCTCATCAGGCCTGAAGGTCTCAGGGTCTACGCCGAGGTACGTTCTGATGTTGTCCTCCAAGTACCAGGACTGGTTTTCATCATGCACCATAAAGAGCAGAGCAAACTCCTTCTCCACGTCTGCTCTCTGCCTGTCGGACCCCACACCGTGCTGCAGAGTCCCAGGCCTGCAGACCACCAGAGGTCCCAGGAGACCACTGTACAGATCCTGCACACAAACAACATGTAAACCTCCCACTCAGACCTAAACATCCAAGTGTATACAATCCTTTAACTTCAACAATAAATTGTGTTTTTCTTCTGTTACTGTGACTTCACATCCATTTTTGTGAGTAGGGAGAGGGTGAAGGAGCTCACATGGAGGGTCTGGATGCGGTGTTTATGTGATTTCAAAGTGTTGTACAGTTAAGTAGACGGTTGTAAAAACTAAGCAGCATTAACATCAGAGTGAAATTATGTTTTTGAAGAAATTGAAGTGATGCCACCAATTTTGATGCTTAAAGAGGACATATTATACCCCTTTTCTACCTTTTAAAACAGTCCCCTGTGATCTAAATGAAACATCTGTGCTGTGCTTTGGTCAAAATATAACATGAATCAAGCATCAGAGGAGGTTTGTGACCTTGTATAAACCAGCTCTCTCAGAACGCTGTGTTTTGGTGTGTGTGTCTCTTTAAATTCAATGAGCCCCCCCTGAGTTTTCCCGGTAGACATCACTCATTTGTAGCAAGAATAAAAATGGCGGACCTGCACAAAAGTTTTGTTCTAGGCTCGGGATGGATTCCATGGGTGGAGATATCAGGGGAGGAGAGGGTATTTCCACTGTGACATCACAAGGAGAGCTAATTTGAAACAGAGCATTTTTCTCTGTGTTGCAAGACTTATGCAGACCACAAACAAAGGACTGGATGGGTTGATTTCATATTTTGTGGGTCAGTAGACACTCAGGTTACCCAAATACATTTTCAAAAACACTGTCAAAGTGGATTTTTCCTAATATTTCCACTTTAAATCTAAAAGTTATTTTGCCATCACAGCCACTCTGCTTTGGAGCGACCTGTCTGAGGAAATAAGGCTCACAGAATCTGTGACATCTTTTGTGTCCTTGTGATGTTTTCTTTTTGAAGGCATTGACTTTATATGTTCATATTAATGTATATTCACATTTTGTTTTTCTTAAATATTTTAATTTCAATTCTATCTACAGTACTTCACTTGTCATGTATTTTTCAGTCCTTCTTTCTTCTCTCTGCTGTATTTCTACATCTCTCTCTTGCTTAATCTGAATTGAGTTCCTTAATATCGTCTGGCCTTGTAACTCTTTGAACTCGTTTTTTTACAGGTGCTATAAAAAAGAAAGTTAGGATCGTTCTTTTAATGAAGTACCCTGATGAAATCAACGGTGGAGTAGTAGGCATATGAGATGCAGTTCGGATCAGAGACCCCTGGACCAGAGCTCTTAGGAATATCCCACGTCAACTCGATCACGTAGCCTAAAGGCAAGAGAACATGTAATAAGTATGAATCCAAAAGCCCCTGACAAGGAAGTGTCTTTTTTTGTGCATTTGCAACTACTTTATTCTCACCCGGTTCAACAGGAATGTGTGTGCCACTAGCTTGAACTCCGTGTGCGCTTATGGAGTACGGCCGGCTGGCTTTGTTCCTGAATGTAATCGAGATCTGCTCTCCTACCTCTGCTTTGATTATTGGACCTACAGAGAGAGAGAGAGAGAGAGAGGAAAACATTTCACATTCAGTCTTACCTGGTGTGGAAAAAAAAAAAAAAAAAAAAGCATGAAAGTGCTTCTAGTTTTACCAATAATCCCAAGGTGTTGTTGACAAGGCTGCCGTTTCTTCTGGACTCTGAAGGTGTCATCCGTGTATTCTTTGTACACCACCTTCTTGTAGCGCGAGCCAATTCTGTTTACCCCTTTCACCACAAATATGCTGCCAGGACTGGGAGACATGTACCAATTTGCTTCATTAAACAAACAGTAATAACTTTACCCACTAATCACAGACTGTGGCTCCGACACTGGAGTACATCATCCTGTTATTATGTTCGTCACCCACCTGTCCTCTGATGTGGCGTGGTGTTTCTCCAGCTCCCAGTGTCTCTCCGGTGAGTAGTCCCACTCGATTTCTTCAGCGCTGATATAATACTGCACAATCTTAGTCGGCCGAGTTGTTGTGGTCTTCAGGTGGCGTTGGGAACACTGGTCCACTCTGTACTGCTGCCTCATCCCGGCTGAGAAGTGGTCTGTTACTCTGCAGCTTACTTCAAATAAACCTGTCAGGAGAGGAGGACAAATGATTAGAGATGTGTTTGTCTCTTCACTCCAGACGTTGAAAGAGCACATGCTCTATGAACAGTTTTTACCCACAGAACAGGTAACTGAAGATGAAGCCATACTCCATATCGCTTTGAGAGAACTTATTCTTAGTAGGACAGGAAATGTTGGTGCTTGTCTGGGTTTCAGTGTTGCAAATGACCGCATGCTTGGTTAGGTAACTAAACACATCTACATTGCAAATGATCACACCTCCCTTGTCTTCCATGCAGTGTTTTGTGCTTGCAGAGTAACTTCTCTCAAAAATAAACTGGCTTTGCTTCTAGATTTAGATTTCCACAAGCAAGGATCTAGAGAGGAGGAAACAACGCCAGTGAGCGCAAACAAACTGCTTTAAGTGGACACACAGGGGCTGACGGGAAGTGCACAGAGGCAGAGTACTTTTTAAAAATAATTGAAGTTAATATATCGTAATCAACAACATCGACAGCTGTTCTTGAGAGTTCTAATCAGCATCAAAATCATCCCAAATATCATCATCATCAAAATCATTAAGTGCCTTCGTGTTCATGAAAGAGCTAGGTCTTTAGCTTTTTTCTTAAAGGTGCAAAGGGACTCTGCAGATGAATGGAGTTTGATAGGTCATTCCACCACTGGGGGGCGACAGAGGAGAAGAGTCCAGCTAGAGACTTAGGGCGCACTCACACTAGCAAAGTTGTCCGGTACCGTGCTTAAGCACCTGTTGTGAAGGTTGGATCAGACGCCTTTCATTGGCAGAGCATAGTGGGCGGGAGGGAGTCTAGACCTGGATGATAGTGTTTAGGTGAGGAGGAGCGTTTTTTTGTCGCTGTTTTGTAAGCGGGCAGCAGAGTTTAAAATTTGATGCGAACCAGTGGAGGGAGATGAAGAGTGCATTAACATGGGCTGTTTTGGGTAGGTTGAAGCCCAATCGTGCTGCTGCGTTTCAATAGTGCATGTAGGAAGACCTGCCAGTAAGGCGTTGCTGCAGATTTCTGTGCAGAATGATAACACCATCAACTTACTATTCAAGGAATATTTTTAAATGACCTAAAACATGAGTGTGGGAAATTTTTAGAAGGGTTTCTTTAACACTCATAATAGCCATCTCCTTTTCTTTGTTCATCTTTGGACTTTATGAATCCATAAAATGCCTTTGTATTGTAGAAATAACCATACATTAAGTCAGTGACACGTGCACAAGTCCTATCTGTTTATGTTTATGAGGCTGAGGCAAACTGGAAAAGGAAATTCCTCTAACCCAAATAGAGATGCTCTCTATTCCACATCTGCTGTTTTGTGTTTAAATGTGTTTATCTTTTGTCTGAGACAGTTTCAGACCATGTTGGTGATTTAGCCAAACTATATTTGACTCATACTTTTATCTCTAAAGCTAAATTAATCTAATTGAAGAAAAAAGGATATAACCTTGAAAAGTAGTCTAGAACTTGTTGTGTAGAATTTGTTGTGATTTATTGAGGAAATGTTCTTAAATGAAGCCTTCAAACTTATCTCAGGAAACTTTTACAAACATAAATAAGATAGTCTCAACATTTCCTGTTTCCATCGTAGTTCTGGATGTTATCTTGTTATCCACAGTTTGGAGTAGTGCATTTTACAGGATGACACATGCACTACAGGATGCTGTTAAAAGAATTAAACCAAGTTGGGCATTTTGTGTGTAAGTGTGTGTGTGTGTGTGTGTGTGTGTGTGTGTGTGTGTGTGTGTGTGTGTGTGTGTGTGTGTGTGTGTCTGACTGACCAGGAGTGTTTGGCTGCATGGAGACAGCAGCGGTGGTGTGAGGGAAGAGGCTGATAGTGTCTCGTGTTGTGCTCTGCTTCTTAAAGGTGTTGCCTTCAAAATAAACACCATGGATGTCCGCCTCTGTGCCCAGGCCGAATGTGTACCACTGAACTTTGTCCCCGGCACACATCTCCAGTCCGGGAAGGTTCCCATACATCCGACCGTTTACAGCTGGAAGAGAGGGAAGATTCAAACAAAAGTGAACAAAAATAATAACCTGAAAAGGCGCTAAAATGATTATCAGCACAATGTAATACAGATAAATTAACCAAGTACAGTAAAAGAAATAAAACACCCTTGTTACCATGCATCAAATTGCTCTCCTCAAAATCTGGGTTGTCTGGGTTGCCGCCAAAAGTCTTGATATTCTCCTCCAAATACCAGCTTGAGTTTTCATCCATGACAGAAAAAAGGAGGAAGAACTCTTTATCCACATCGTTCTGTAAAGAGATGCACACACAGGGATGGAAAAAATCTTGAAGGGGCTTTCAAAATTAAAGCTGCCATCAACATTAGATTTATGAGATTGCTTGAAGGGATCATTTTATTGTGTGTGTGTGTGTGTGCGTGCGTGCGTGCGTGCGTGCGTGCGTGTGCGCGCGTGTGAGAGCGTGTAAATGGATAAAGAAGCAGCACCTGGGTCCCGTTCTCCCCCAGCGTTCCCTTCTTGCACACTAGCAGAGGCCCCACTAATCCTGAGTTGGTGTCTTTGGCAGGATCTGTGGCGGAGTAGTACAGGTAGGGGATGCAGGGAGTATCCGATGAAGACGGACCTTCTAACACCTGCCAGGTGTACGTGAAGTTCTGCCCCGGAGCCACGTGGGAGCCCGGCTTGTTGACACCTACACATCATTGCACAAAAACCCCCCAAAAAACAATCACATCTGCTGTCCCATCTGATCATTTCTTTAAACTTGAGCTTACAACAAAAATACTTTGATAACTTTTTTACTGCTTCTGTTGGTGCGATGACTTTGGCCACGATTCATGAAATTATTTTTTGTGGAACACTCTTAACAAATTAAATAATATTGATTTATTTTGAAGTGATAATAATATGATGCAGGTATTTTAACTACCTATTTATTTACATTTAAAGCTATTCATGTGCTCCATTGGATTCTGCCTGTATGAAGGAATCCTCTGAATTATATCTGACGTCTTAGGACCTTCTCTAAGCGCACCCACCTCCATCTTTAGAAGTATTCTGACACATTAAATTATATAGTAAAATTGCATGGGCAGAAACCATGTTTATTTCAGTTACTACCAGACAGATTACTCGTCTTTATTTCCTTTGGTGACTTTCATTGACAAACTAAGGGGGCCCCCTTAAGGAGGTTTCCTACTGCCATTACAAACTCTGCACATTTGGAGCCTCTGCAGTTTTAAAGTGTTAAAGTTAAGTTTTTTAGCCCTTGGGGGCCCCTTACTGGCCTGGGGCCCCAGAAGTTGCCTTCCTTGCCTGTTGATAAGCAGTGCCTCTGAGCATGCTGCCGAAACACCAGGGTGACATTTTTTTAAAATCGGATCACACTATCGACACATGTACAGGACAAGAACAACAAATACATGTGTACTGCTTTGTCAAAAGTCAACACAAACAGAGAGATCCTCACAGGAGCTTCAACAAATACATGGTAACTGTATGTTCTGCTACACATTTCTGTGTTTGACTTGTGTGATAAAGATTAACTTTTTTCACTTACTCTATCCTTCTCGCTTCAGGGGTGTGTATGATCGTGTATATGAGCATATGTGTGTTAAATTATGAACATGTCAATGGAAATAATATATGTTTCAAAAGAGGTTTTGCAGCCAAGGTATTTTAGCTTAAAAATGCAGTTTTTCTTGTTCATTGGAATTTGATTCCAACACTTCCTAATTCAGAGCAGTCCATGCCAGACCTTTTAGATTTAACTATATGTGATTATGGGCTTTGAAGGTTTTTAATCTAAATATTTCATTAGCAAACATCTTAGTCATTGACAGGGATTTTTCTTCAGTCTGTAAAAAAATCTAAGCAAATGTAAGTCTCTGCCAAGAAGAAATGAAAACAATTGCCATAGCTTCTGACTTTTATTGCATCATGTGTTATTCTTCTTTGCTATTCAACAAGTTTCTGTGTCAACTCACCGTCCTCGTAGCTGCTCCCCTGGGAGTGTTTGTCATAGTGCAGGCCATGAGGCTGGATGCTGTAGTTCCTATCAGCTAAATTCATGAATGTCACTCTGAGAGTGTCTCCTTCCTCTGCCCTCAGGACGGGACCTGGACAACGGCAGAAGGATATCATGACCAGACAGGAGGTAAGAGGCAAGAAACCAGTCAGGTACACGAGACACAAAAGAGGAAGTGTGAGATGTCTTTTCTTTTCTTACCTAACATTCCTAAGTGTAAATCCTGTGGTTTCATTGTGGTGAAAGTATCATCTGTGTACTCTTTGTATATCACTTTCTGGTAAACACCTCCGATCCTTCCACCCTCTTCACCAAAAAAGATCTCGGATGCACTAAGAGAAAAAGGGGAGGGGAGGGAAAGAAATGAGGAACAAGAGAATGCAGGTGACGGATGTAGAGAAAGACTGACCCGGGTTGTAGTTTACAGTCTGCGGCCTGGATGAAGAAGCACTGTGTAATTTCTTACTACAGAAAAAGTCAACAGAGCAAATAGCTGGCCAGTCAGTCGGGCCTCACTGTGTCAGGACAGGCAACAATAACAAAGACACAATAACAACTGAGTCACTGCACCGCCATCCACATGCTTACTCTAGACACCACAGAACTGCCTCACCACAGGAACGACACGCTGCTGTGGAACCAGCCGCGTCCAGAGGTCTGGTATTACACATATGAATACACATAAAACTTTATTCAGATGTTTTTTTATGAACCTTAAAGGGACAGTACATTTTTAAATGAACCTGTAATTATCTTTAGAGTCCATTAGCTCCCTTACTATTACTCCAAAACTACTATGGATGTATTCTCCAGATGTAAATAGTGTCCATGTGGTACATATTTGACTTTCAGACATATGATGCAGCTGTTTGTCTATATAACGCAGGGATTTAGTCTTCATACTGAGTGCTCGGTGACATTAATGTATATGTAATGTTTTACTAAGATTTTAGTGTAATACAACTTTCAGCTTTCAATTGACCCAAAACGTCATCCACCCAAAAAGATCTGATTTTTTAGAAATAAGATAATTTATTGATCCTGGATGTTATTTAAACAGTTTTCTATAAGACTATACCTGTTGGGCAACAATAATGTGGAGCAATAACGATGTCTTCTAGGGTAAAATTGTGCAAAAAGATAGACTTAGACTGACTGATTGTAAAAGAACAGTTGAACTCACATCTTATCTCACAGCAGTCTTTGCTGTAATCTCTGATTGATGCAGTAGCTAGTCACTTAGAATCTCATAAAGTGTCCGCCCACCTGTCGGCCTCAGTTAGCGATACGTCATTGATCAGATCTTTCCCTGAGGGAGCGTAGTTCCACAAGACTTTCTTTGCTGCCAGGTAGTAATTCCTCACAACACCACCGCCCATCTCTGTGGAGCTGGCCTCACTGTCACAGGGCTTCACGACATAGAAGGCCTGCATCCCAGCTAGAAAAAAAAAAGACTCACATGTATGACAAATGACATGTATGAAGTATAAGCCTATCGTGAAAGTTGACCTTTAGAGCCTTAGGAAATTCTAATGGCTGGCAACCAACATGGGAGTCCAAAAGGTCAGGTTTAACAGTCTATAAAATAATAAATACTCTCAGGTTCAGTTTACACTTACTTCCTTGTGTTTTCCTTTAAAAATGAGGGCTTAGTTTAAAAAGCCTGACAGGACATGTAACCTATAAAACTACCCAGAGATTGATCTGTATGGTTAACATATTTGTATTTTACTTTCTTTTGTTCAGTTGACAAACAGGACTGAATAGGCTTTTATGCAGAGCGTGATATGATACAAAGGAAATGTATTTTCCAAGAGTCAACAATATTTATTTAATGCTGAGCAAGTATACGGCACATTCAGTTATTTGCTCAGTGGACTTTGACCCTTTTTAAAATACAAGACCCGGCATGTTCAGAGTCAAAAACAAGCCATTCTAACAAAATGCTTTGACAGAATAACAGAGGTGGACCTCACAGAAAAATGCATTCTTCCCTGTCAGCAATTCTGTACAACCAGCGAAGTCTCAGAGCAGGGAGGTCAACGCAGAGGATAAAGGTCAGATGCCCTACCCTGCAGGTGGTCATTAACTTGGCACGTCAGCAGCCACTTTCCTTCTGCTTTCGGGACCATCTGGCTGTAGCAAACGTGGCGGGGAACAGGCTGAGGACGTCCGTGCGATGGCCTCGGTCCAGGAGAGTGTTCCCATGGAAGAAAGCAGAGTGAATATCCACCTCGTTCCCCATGCCAAACAAATGCCAGGCCACTGCACGGTGCTGACATAACTCGATTCCAGGCAGGTTACCAAACATGTAGCCATTTATAGCTGTCAAACAGAGAAAAACACAGACAGAGGAAACTAAAAAACAGGAGATTAATTTAGCCTGTAAACCTTGTTTTTAACACTTTGTTTCAGCATGACATTATTTGAAGTAACCAGTAACTCCCTCTTTTGGGGGTCTGAGGGGACTTCCATTAGAACTCAAAAATGTGAAAACAGAATATTTTGTTGTCAACTAGTTGATGGGTTGGCAGTCTTTTACATAATCTGGAATTTCTATGAACATATTTGGCACATAAATGCAGAATCTCTAGGCCAATGAGACAATATTTTAGTGTCAGTGGCATTTTGGTTTCTGTTTGTAGTCTTATTTTTATTGTGCACTTTATCAACTGTTTAAAAAAGCTGGACGACATGACAGCTGCCTAAAAGTGAAGGGTCATGGCAGGTACGGGTCATAAACTTTGTCTCCATCATGTTAACAGGTGTGGACATGGGTTAAACTATAGAATTAAAAAAAAAATCTCTATTTTCTCAATTTATGCCTGAGTTTTAACTTTTCTGAGAAGTTTAATTTTATTGTGTTATTGATGCCAAAAAGGGGTTAAAATGCCATGATTGACAGCTCAGTTGACAAATGCGGCTCCTTCAGTGTGGGTCAAAGGTCTAGCTGGACTTTCAAATCATGGCCAAGAAGTCTTAGCAGAAGACATTTACAACTGACGCTAGCTTAGATTTACTTAACTGGAAGCTCTTAAGAGGCTCATCGTGAGACTGGTATGTTGTATATGAGTTTAATCGATTAAACTTCCAGCTATTTCTTTTTATCTTTTAAATTGAAAATACAAACAACATTGTAGTACTTATCCCTCACCATGCATCAGGTTTGACTCCTTAAAGTCTGGGTCCTCTTGGTCCACCCCACTTGGATCACTGCAATTCTGAATGTTATCCTCCAGATACCAGCTCAGGTTTTCATCCACCACGTTGAACATCAGGAAGACATCCTGGTCTACATCATTTCTGGCTGAATCTACAACAGCACCTGGCTTTGTCTGACCCAGGACTGGATTGTTCGTCTCCTTCAGTATCCCTGTGCTCATAGAGAAAAATGAGATTAAGACCAACTTGTGGAACAGGGTTTAAAATGGTTGTAAAGTGCAGATAAATTAATATTTAAATTCAATTTAATCTATATCTTCTCATGTCAAACGTTGGAGTTCATCTGTGTTACCTCTCTGGTATTGATCGATGATCATTGCTTTTTTCCTGAAGCATTTTGTTGCAATTTTTCATTGTTGTCATTTAGTGCTTAAGGCCTGGCTGATACCTATAAAACTATCTATCCTCGTTGCTAAAATGTATTCATGAATCTTGGAACCACAGCTGCTGACTAAAGCAGTTTGCCAAAATGTCAGATAAGAGAATGAAACAAACAAGAAAAATGTAAGAACAGAAAGAAACAGGAACAAAAAGAACAGAAAACATAATTACAACACAAGAGCAGCCTATTCAGGACAAAATATTAAAATGCCAAAGAAGAATATTTTAAGAAGACACTTAAACAAGTCAACAAAGGAGACAGATCAGACTATAGAGAAAGGGGTGGTCCACAGTCTATGGGCTTTGACTGCAAAAGCATATCTTTAAGTGTAAAATTGGAGCAAGGGACTGCCAGTAGGCCCATGTCAGATGATCCCAGGGGCCTGGAGGTTGTGTGAGGGCTCAAGAGATCTGCTTTTAAAAACAAACAGCACAACCTAAAAGATGTTTAAAATGTCTTCTTGAAGTCGTTAAAGAGAGGATAGAACAGGGCTGATATCTTGAACCAGTCAGTAGTCTGGCAACAGTCTTTCTTTTTATTGCATCAGGAACAAGGAAGACCTGCTGATTTCAGTATAAACTAATTAAGAACAACAGGGCATGCAAGCTGAATAAGAGGAAATAAACAGTTTACAGCTGAAAAGAAAAGTTTGTTTCTCCCAGTTTTACTTGATCATCAAATTTAAATGGAAAGTTAAATGTTACTCCAGTGTTTGTTAACTATGACCTTCAGGAAGAGACCTTCAGTTAATGCAATATAGGGGACAAAAAAGTTTATTTTTCTCAGAAGAATGAGCTGAGTGTCGCCAGTGTAGCAGTGTTAGGAGATGGTGTGCTTCTGGCGATGATTTTACCTAATGGGAGCATATAGATAAAGTACAACATGGGGCTTAGGATGGAGCCTTGCGGGACACCATAAAACAGATTACCTTGAGAGGGGATAAATTACCTATGTGCGCTGGGAAAGTTCTGTTATTGAGAAAGGATATGAATAAACTCAAAGCAGTGCTAATGGCTAAGGATCAGCTATGATTGTCTGATCAACAGTGTCAAATGCAGTACCGAGGACCAGTTAAATCAGACATACACAGTGAACAGAAACATATGTGAGGAGAAGGTCATGAAGTAAAGAAAAGAACTAAAAGTCATACATTTGATTTGGAACAAATAATACATACAGGGAGGTAACCTCACAAGTTATCTTCATACCTTTTTTGCAGGTAAGCAGAGCCCCGATAAGTCCCGAGGCGATGTCCATGGGCGCGTCTACATGAGAGTGGTAGACCCAGGTCAGGCAATTGGCATCATCGTCTGTGGGGGCAAATTCCGGTCTGACCTCCCAGCGGTAGGTGTAACTGCCTCCTGGTGGAACAGAGTCGTCCTTCTTCAACATCTTTGATGTCCCATCTGGATAGAGAGCCCCTGGTAGACAAATACAAGATGTTCATGCTGAGATCCCTTTGTGTCTTCTGAAGGCACAAGCTAAAAGCACTCTGGCTCAACAGCTCAATGGCTCTATTTTGCCACAGCCAAATGTATCCTAACTTTTTTTTTATCTGGAACGAATCTAAAAAAATATGAAGGGAAGAAGTGATTCATCATCTGCAAATGTCTAAATGATCACATTCTTAAAAGGAGGTATCACAGATCAAGGTCATATCCTTCTTCTCTTATCTCTGTTAAGCTTTCAGCCCCCACGTGTGCAACTGTGTGTCATCTATAAACAGCAAAATTACCTCAGTGTTGTTCTTTAACTTCTGCACTAATATGACTTGCCACATGACATGGTTGAAACAAAGTTGGCTGATTCTGATGCAGTTCCTCTGTTTTTACTCCTACAACAACAATTTAGTTTCAGTTTCAGTTCTCCGAAGACCCTGCATAACCCGGAGGCAGGATGCATCACCAGGGAAGAGTGGGGGAGGGGGCTTGTTGCAAAACAAAGAACAGCAAAGTTCACAATACTCAAGAGAAATATCTGGCAAGTGGACTGCAGTTATACTTCTTGCCTTTGAACGCCAGCATAAATGGACTCTTTCAGTCCGTATCAAATTTTGTTGTCCTTTGTCATGTCAGACTGTGGGTATCTTGTTATCAGCGAACGTCTGGCATTGAAGAAAAGGAGACACAGATGGCATACTTTCCTAGATATATAGGCTACACAAAGCCACAGTTTATGTGACAAGAAACTGAAAATGTTAGCCTACTTAGTCTGTGTTTCCAAATTGTCCTGATTCTCTGATGTATGACAAAACTTTATAAACTGTCCAATGAGGGAAATACCTTTATAACAGCTCTTGTATGGAAAAAAAATAGATATTTTTTTCCCAAGGAGAACCAAAAACACAAATAAGCCAACTCTGCTGTGGATCAGGACAAGAAAATTGTTATCTGACCCATGGAGCCTAAAACCTGATAACATGGCTTTGTTACTAAGAAGTGTACACCTTGCCAGAGCTACTATTCATTTTGAAAGGGAATCCATTTCAGTCTTCTTAGCGCAGTTTCAACTGCAGACTTATTAGTAACATGGCCAATTTTGTTATTTCAGATATCACCTTCTCTTATTCTCTATGTGTTCTCAAAGTATACATATATTATAATGCTACTTTACCCTCTGCATTCTTCTCATAGAAAACGCCATGGGGATGCATAGAGTAGTTTCTGCTTGCAAAGTTCTTCAGGTGGACCACAATGATGTCATCGACCTCGGCTCGCAGCACAGGCCCCAGGAAGCCCAGAAAGGCCGGCCGGGGGGCCAGGCTACTGTACGTTGCATCAGTATATTGTCGGAACATGGCTTTCTTATACACACTGCCAACACGCTGAGGTCCTCTTTCCAGGAATACAGATGCATGCCTGAGATACAAGTGGACATGGGAGATAAACACACAGCAGTGGTAACACAGAGGGAGAGCAGTGTGGAGGTGGGAGAGGAGAAAGAGACAGCTGTTAATCCTGTTTGTTGGACATTTCTTAAGGTTAAGGTCAGGGTACTGTCATATTATACAAAGCAGGATTGCACAATTGTCAATGACATGCAGTTTCTCTCCCTCTCTTGACACATGCATAGTCTTTAAAAAAATCCCAAATACATTCATAAAATTTGCAAGGACAAATTGAATGTGCACAAATATGGGTGGGATAAAAAATATCAACACATTTGGAAAATACAAAACTAGTCTGTGGAGAGCAAATGGGAGAAGCATTGAATGCTCTATATGTATACACAATAACATCACATTGTTAAAATTACTTATTTTTGTCAAGACACAAACTGCATGACTGTAACCCACCTTATAGTAATATAAAATACAGAAGAGGCGGTACCAGTATAGAAAGAAGTAGATGGCAAAGAGAGTGATATCACTGTATAGCTCACTTAGTAAGATTTCACAAAAGGCTTGGATCTATCTGGTGGATTATTTGACTTTAATTATAGATGTTACACAGGGGAACAAATGGCAGGTCTCTAACAATTAGACTTGTAATTATTGTTATTACAGGATTCTGTGGGCTAATAACCTGTTACTGGAGCTGTTGCCTACACAGTTTTTGCTACAGTATACTATATAACCCCAGCAAAAGGATGGACACAAAGCATTACCTTCACTAGATTCACAAATGGGTCGTATTGACAACTGTGCTGGAGGCCTGATGGAGGGGGTTTCATCAAAGACCTGATCGAAGTGATTTATTGATAACATGCAGCCTCCATCTCTCACTAATTGATCCCATTTAAACACGACTATGTGTGTGAGGAATTGGGTACTGCCCAACCATTAGCTAAACAGTTTTTTAGTTTCAGTGCTTAAACTCTGCAGGTAGACAAAATGATGGCATTACTGTGTTTCAAATATATATATTTACATTTTTGGAAATGTGCCTTATTTGGACAGGGAAGCTGAAGAGACAGGAAAAGTGTGGGGGAGAGAGAGAGAGAGCGGGGGATGACATGCACGAAAAAGCACCAGGTTCTGGAGTAGAACCTGTGACCAGAGCAACAAGGACTGTAGCTTGTTCATGGGGCGCTGCTCTACCTGAGCTAAACCAGCACCCATTGTTGTTAGTTGTAGAGGAGACAGCATGCATGTTAAGAATGACCTTATAGTATGTATCATGTCTGAAAACATACAAATGTCTATATATTACTGTATACCTGTTTTTATAAGGAAGGCCTTATTCTGTTTTTTTTTTTACTAGTTCTTCAAAAACAACCTCTCATCACCCACGTTTAGCAGGATGAGATTCTTACCTGTTAACCTTGTTATTGAAATATGATAATGATAATATATATTGAAAACATGTATATATTTGTCACTGGGTTAGGTCTGGAATTTCCAACATTATGTAAGGATGCAGCTGTTGCATTACACTTTAAAGTTACTCAGTTTTAAAAGAAGAGATAAAATGTGGCGCAATTGAAGCACACCACCTGTGTTTACACCTATCATGAATATATGATGATCATATGATGGTTGGCTTTACTTTCACATCTTCTCATACAAAAGATATATATACATACATTTATCTTCATGTTCAATTTTACTCTAAGGCGGCAAACATCCTCCTTATCTGTCATCAGTTAAATAAAAACATCTAACTGAATCTGTTTAAGGGCTTTTGGTGGATAAAGTTCATTGTCTTCAGTGTTTGTGTTGCAAATGTTGAAAAATCATTATAAACACAATCGGAGCCGGAAATAGTTGTCAGGCAGCCCATGCACAGAGAAATCTGTATAATCAGCCAGCTGGACAACATCTGATAATACTGACTATACAGCCACATGTGCAGGTTTAACTATTCCTTCAAATCAAACTTGCCAAACACAATGAAGTGTCTCAATTTGGATCCAAATCCTGGTTATTTTCAGACCTGGATATTTCTATTGCACCCTTTTACATCTGCCAGTTTATTCTCCAGCAACCTAACGTCTGTGTAAAATCCCAGCACTGTTAAGATGCAACCCCTTCTCCTGTTTTGCAGATGTCTTCGGTCAATGTAACACACAGCACAGGAAGCCTCTAATCTCATGAGGGAAGACCTTCAATCACTGTGAGTCTCTCAAATACTGTCATCTTTCCTGTGGATCTGATGCCAGACATCCGTGAAAGTCCACAACAATATAGAGGTCTAGACACTGTCACACCATGACACCATGACCCACTGTGGTCCTTCTGTACAACTTTACCACCAAAACGAGATTCTTGTCATCTTAGATGGTGGATCTTTCCGGTTTTGTCCCAGTACGTCCAGTCACTTTGCATTGTAAACACAACAATGACCGGAATAATACCAATCGTAAACTAGGCTACATAAGTCAACAAAAAAATAAATAAAGGCATCATTACTCACTCGTCATTTTCGACGTCTTTCCCGTTGAGCAGGTTTTTTCCACTGGGTGCATAATCCCACGAGTCCTCAATGATCCCCACATAGTAAACTCTCTCCCTGCTGCGCTTCCCCTCCGCGCCGGAGGAGAGAAGAAACAACAAACAACTCGCAAACAGCCCCGAATGCCAAGCCATGTTCACACGGTCGCTCCTCTGCTCACGGAGTGTTCACACAGAGTGGGGCTTTGGTTCAGGAGCAACAAGTGGAAACCACCGTGGACTCGTCCATGCAAACATGCGCGTGTATTAACAGCGCGCGCAGGAGTTTCAGCACTTATGAAACTCTGTGGAGGGAAACAGTCAGTCTATTCAGACAGAGAGCGGCGGCGCAGTGACCGCCTCCCCCGGTTATCACCCATAATAACCGCTCGGTGCTCTCGCGCTGATTATGATAAGACGTAGTTAAAAGTGACTCTTGGGAAATTAAAGGGTAATTGATCTACTTGTGCTAAAATGCAGACTCAAGCGCCAGGGGTCGTCTCAATTATCTGTCAATTTTCCAGAAGTGATGAGTCAGCATGTTAATAATCCGCTGGTCCCATGTGTGCAGGTTAGGCTATATGGATAGCCGGTTAAGATTTTTGTGGCACTATTTCAACCAATAAAGTGTTTTAAGCAATCGATACAGCCCAAATATTAACGATTTAGACCTTGAATTACCTTTTTTTTTTTTTAAATTTCCTGTGTCCAAAATGTTATTACAAATATATGATGTTTTTTTGTTTTTTTTTCAACATATTTTTATTAAAGCAAGTTCAAAACATACATTGCAATTGGGATGCAGTCAACATTTTTCTTTTTTCCTCAGAAACATTCAAAAACCTAGTATCACTTCGCTCTGTAAACAACCCTCCCAGACCAACAATAGACCTCTTAGTTTAAAGATAAGAATAAAAGTGCAAGATTGGAAAACTCACAGAAAAAAATAAAAAATAAAATACAATAACCAAATAAAAACAAATAAATAAACGTGAAAAAATAGAAGTACATTTGAGAGTAGTATCAAAAAGAAATATATATATTACTAACAATAATAATAATGAAAATTGACGAGACAAACATAAATAAAAAATGAATAAAATACATGATGTTTTAAACACAATCTCATCATCACCACCTGATGAGTCATTCTGTCATGGAGCACATTTTGTCTCCCCTGCTAAATAGGAAGATTCTATTTTATAAACGTTAATGTTTTGGTCGAGAAGGTGCACATTCGTTTAGGCTATGTAAAAATATGTGTAGATGAATTTTGTTCTTTACAAATCACTTACTGTAAGTTGATAACCTTAACATGAATACAAGAATTCCCGAAGTGAACGTATTTTGTTTAAAGTAAAATAAAAGGAATCCCTTATTAAACTGAAGAAGGAAGTTTGGTTAGTATTTTCCCTTTGTTCAATCATGCATGAGTCTCATTCACTCCAGGGGGAGGTGAGGTTGATTACACTTGAAGTCAATGTGGCACTGATTACAGAGCTCCTCTCTGACTGGCAGAAGAGGACAGGGAACAGGGTATACAAGGTGTTTGAGATGTCCCTTTTGAGGACACACTTTTCCTTATCTTTGTCTGCAGATGACATTTCATAATGGATGGAAGAACATTTCCCCTGATTTGTGTGTGTGGCCAGCATGAATAAATTTCAGTTTCAACTGAGAAAATCTGCAACTTGGTTGTCCATCCTTTTTCCACTCACACTCTGCCTGCCATCCAGAATTGAAACAAATTCAAAATCACGAGCACCCAATTTCTAAGTAGCCTATTGATGTCATTCACTGGAGTTTTTTTTAAATCAGTAGAACAATTGGATTTCCAGTATGTGAAATAATAGTCCATCTTGGGTTTATTTGCTGATAATGCAGTTATTGAAATAGGAAATCAAGAAATCTTACATCTTAATAATGTTTTCCTAGTCAGTTTGTGGTGCTTCATAGCTTATTATGAACGGCTAAATATGTGAAAATAAACTATGATGTGATGTTGTTCAGGGATTTCACCAGTTGCAGCAACACTGGAAACTCCTGTCTTGCAAAAAGTGGAAATTTTCTTAAGCCACCTCATCCTTGTAAAACACATTCCTGTCAACACAGCACTTGTGTCATACTTAGAAGATTAGGCTGACACCTGCTGGAAAACTCTGAGCAGTACAACTGTAGAGAGGCTGAGCTTTTTAGGAAGTAAAGGTGAACAGAAAAGCAACATAACTCAGTGACACTTGTATTATCGCCTGACTTTGGTTGGTGTGTTCATCTTTCTGATCAATCCCTTACATTTCTCAGTTCAGACTCCAACCAAACACAGCGATGCAGCTTCTACAGGAAGATATATGCCTTTAATCGGCAAGGCTGAACTTTATGAGGTTTGAGGTCTTGTTTCCATACTAGAGTAGCCTAATGATGTGCAGGTCAAGTACCTTGCATGCCCTTAGAATTTAATCTTTTTGTTGGTTCTAAAAAGCCTCAACCGGTGCCCAAATAAGGCCTTGCAATGTTTTATATATATTTACAGATTAGAGCATTTAGTTGAATAGGCAGTATTTCGTCAAAACCAACTGTGATGTTTATAGTAGTAGAATTAAAAACAAAAATCCTTCATTTTTTTAATACACAAATCTCCTCAATAGGCGTATCTTGCAAATTACGATCCCAAATACAAATAGTTTTTTTTTAACCTGATTTCCTATGTTTTAGGCTAACCAGATTATACCAAATTAAATAACCAAACAAATCTTTATTAACCGAATTAGACCAAATTAGTTAAACTCTTTATTAATCCAATTAGACCAAATTAGATATTTACAATATGAGGTGTGGAAGTCAGTAAAGTCAGTGCTGTGTGTTGTGTATGAGTGGAGTGTGTAGGTCTTGTGAAATGCAAACATTGCAAAAGGTAACTTTGTCTAACATTCTCAAAAAAAAAAAAATGCAGTATACCTGTGAATAAGATCAGAGCAGAGAGAGTGTGTGTGTGTGTGTGTGTGTGACTAACTATTGCTCTAATATAGTGAGCTGAAATGAGACCACAGGTTGCGACACACCTCCAAGACAATGTCAATGACAACAATGCAATAAACACTGCTGGGGCATCACAGTATGCCAATTTTCCTTATACTCGTTTAAATCGTCTCCATTTTCTTCCTGTCAGGACGTCATCGTGTTTAAGCCTTGGATACAAAAAAAATAATTAATTTACTTTAGGCTACACACTCCACTCATACACATCACACAACACTCACTTTACTGACTTCCACACCTCATATTGTAAATATCTCATTTGGTCTAATTGGATTAATAAAGAGTTTAACTAATTTGGTCTAATTCGGTTAATAAAGATTCGTTTGGTTATTTAATTTGGTATAGCCTACTGTCCGCTCTCTACAGCGCCGTGCGCGTGAACAACTCCCACGCGGGAACGCGCTGATCTCACGGCGAACGCGCACGGCAGCGCGTGGCCGCCTCCCTGCTGCTGGTTGTCAGTGGTGTAGAGAGACATGGCTGTGCTCAGCAAGATACCCCACAACTGCTACGAGATCGGTCACACCTGGAGCCCCTCATGTGTGCAGTCTGCTGTGGACATAACCAGGGGTGCTCTCGAGGTCTCCTTTAAAATATACGCGCCCCTTTACCTGGTGAGTTTGTGCCGCTTGCTCTGCAGTGTTTGCACTTGTAGTCTCCGGAGCTAAAGTTAGCTAGCTAACCAGGTAAGGCTAACCAATCGCTAGTTCATTACACGCGTTGTAAAGTTAAAGATTAGCTAGACAGTTGTTGTTTTTTTTTACTGGGGGGTCTAAGTTCAAAGTGAAAGAAGCGAAAACGGTGCTCGAACTTTGTTGCCATGTAGAAAAAAACACGGCCAAGACACAGTGATAGTTAAGTAACAGAGGCTAACTAACAACCTTCCAAAACACCATCTGATAATGTCAACTGTGCAGCCAGACACAACACAGTCTCCTCGTTTAACCAGTTAGTTATCACCCTTTATTTATTTATTTATTTTTTTGCAGTTTTGCTTTTCTCCCATCATCAGCTTCAAAGTTCAATTACATTTGCAACACAAATTTTTGCAATGATTTGGCAACCAAATCTCATGACACTCAAGTGGCTCTGAACTCTGTGCATCATGAGTGTATTTGTGTCTGTGCAGATAGCAGCAGTTCTAAGGAGAAGGAAGAAGGATTACTATTTAAAAAGGCTTCTCCCTGAGATCCTGTGGTCTACCTCTTTCCTCACTGCCAATGGAGGTCTCTACATTGTTTTCTTCTGCATTCTCAGGTTAGTAGGTCCAACCAGTGGCACTCACTCTCACAGACACCAAAGGCTGCTGTCACTTGACATTAAGATAATGAGATTGATTATTATTATTAATTTAATCATATTAATTATTGAGCTGTGGAAAAGGGGTAGGATTAAATAAGTTTTATACTTCTTCCTACTCCTTTTCAGGCATATCAATTGAATTTATGTAATTTTCTTTTTCTTTTTTTGTGAAATAATTTGAGCATTGCTTTTTTTGTTTATTGTATTTTGTGCTTTTAATTTTGTTTTGTATTTTTGATATGTTTGATTTTATTTGATATGTCTGAAATAAATTTAATCAATCTATCAATCTATCAATCTATCAATCAATCAATCAATATCATGATACTGATTCTGATGAATCTGGGAAATATGCATAAACTGAAGTGTGCAGTTAAAAACAGCTGTATACTACTAATCACCCTGAATCTTCCCTAACATTTGACTGTAGTTGGATGCTGTTATCACATGACAAATTATCCGGAATCAGTTTTGATTTGCTGCTTTAAACAAGTTCCCCGTGGCAACTGCTTTAGGGAAGCAAGTCAAACCTTTTTTTTTTTTTTTCCATAGCAAATCCTGGCTTTATGTTTATCACATATCTGATTGGTGTAAAGTCTGGCATACAAGCTACCAGGTCCTTCATTTTAAAAGATTCTCAAATTAAATATTCGTATCAGAACAAGTCTGTAAGAATCTTATTTAATGCATCTTTGGATGGGTTTACATGTTAATGATTGAAACTGGAGATTCACACTGCAACATGGAATATGAAAATGCACCTAAATAACTAAAGGAGTCAAGCCTTGGTGTTTGTGGTGGATGTATCTCAGAGTTTGTTGTTTTTTTCATTAACCACGTTTTTCAGACATGCTTTGTGAACTTTCTATGTAATAACAATTACAGGTTTACAATGTGTATTACTCATCCAAAACAATCCTTGTGTTCTTGAATTATAAAAAAAAAAAAAAATATGTGCAAGACGTTTTCTCCCAAACAGAATAATTGCAAAGCTCATACAAAAAATAACTAAAGGTGTATATTTAGGTCCTTCTTCTTCATATCCACGTTGACAAGCTACTACTCTTCTTTGGCATGAGGGTACCTGAAGCTCAAAGTGTTGCTTATAATTCATTGTATGGTTTGCTGTAAACTTAACATCTCTCTTTATGATTAAGAAAGATAAATAACTCAGATTTGAGCCAAACACTACTTTTTTTAACATATTAAAAGAAAAGAAAAAAACAGTTTTGGTGGATTAACGCTTTAATATTCATAATTCAGGAAACTGTTGGGAGGATTCTACACCTGGTCGGCCGGCTTTGGCTCGGCACTGCCTGCATCCTATATCGCAATTCTCCTGGAGCGCAAGAGCAGGTGAGACTCCTGATGAGTTTTTTATTTTTATTTAGACGTTTCTTGTTTCTCCTTCTCTCTCAAAGTCTTGTTTGTTTTTCACCATAACACATTTTCATACACAAGTCTTAGTTAAAAGTTGTACTTAACTTTTGGGAGCCTCTTCAAGATGTTTGATATATTTGAAATATCAGACTTGACGTTCAAGATTTGAATCTGTTTTTATACACTATTTCTATTTTCTGTCTGTTTCCCTACTAGGAGAGGGCTGCTGACAATATACATGACCAATCTAGTAAGAACTACTTTTCTCATTTAAAGGTTATTAGTTATACATCGCCAGATAACTCTGCTGTTGCCACACAATGTATATGACACAGTGTGATCTTGTTTTCAGGCCACAGAGACTCTGTTCCGCATGGCGGTGACACGAGGCATCGTCACACCAATCAAACATGGAGAGGTAAGACGATCCAGTTTTTGGTTTTGCTAGAAATTAAGTTAGCATAATATTAAAACACATAATACAGGTGAGCCTGTCTTAATTCTGGAGCTTTTTTTCTATTTGCTTTCTGTCATCAGATAACAATAATACCTTGTTGGGTTCTACCAGCTGTAGACTGATGTCTGAGTCTAAAGCAGTAGATTTAGATGATGGGATACATCCCTTACCTCATGTATTATAATATCTCCAGCTGAAGTGGGTCTGTTTATTTCAAAGGACAGATAAATGTGTCAGAGCACAGACTTAGGCCCCGTGTCCACCTAGTGTTTTTTCTGTGCATTTGCAGCAGCAGGCGGCCGCAGTGGCCAGCATCTTTTTTTACTGAGCGCGCTGCCTTTTTTGTGCGGCTGCTCCGAATGCTCAAGTTCAAAATCTTTCAACTATTCAGAAAGGCGCTGTTGACATAACCAGTGTTTTTTTTCTTATAATGTATGATACTCCCTGCAGTTTTGCCGCTTATGCTTCCATGTCTCCTGGAGTAAAAACGATCTAAAATAAAAAACATATAGCAAAAAGCAATGCGGCAATTGTCAACAGACTGTTGTCATAGAGACAGGACGGGCGTGCAGCGCTTTTCTTCTCAGCGCACAAAAGAGATACGAGTGCACAGCAAGTGCTTTTCTGCCCAGAAAAAAACATTAGGTGGACACAGGGCCTTAGTCTTCCTTCTGTCTTTGACCATTTGTTGAACGTAGCATGTCAGTGATTGTAGTTGAGACTTGATGGTTTTCTAAAAAGAAAACCTGAAATGCAAAACTTATGACTCTCCATCACAGATTTTACCAGTAAAAATGGCCAGATGTTAATGTTTGGTGTATTGTTCTGATGCCTCGTTGTTGTTGGTGATCCAATTTAGGTGCTTCTGTTCTGCATTACTTCATCGCTCTACATGTACTTCTTCAGGTCAGAGCAGCACATTGGACATATTCATACATATGTCAAACAATTGGTTATAATATTAAATCCCAGCATACGTGTGATGAGCTTGAGTTTGATGTTGTTGTTTTTTTTTACTGCAGGAGTCAAGATGGTCTAAAAGGCTTTGCATTCTCTGCACTGAAGTAAGTTATCCACGCTCCCACTGCTGCCTTGAATGAGGTCGCCGACAGTGTTTTGGTAGAGCTAACGTGAGTCATGTGCACGATCCGTCACAGGTTCATCATCGGCAAAGAAGAGATTCCGACTCACCCTGTCACGGCAGAAAACATCTGCCCGAGGCCCCAGGAGAGAGCGGCTGCTATAGAGGCCGAGGACAGACAAGTGTCAGCAGAGAGGCCGAGCTCCAGGAGGAAAACTCTGGTGGCCTACGTGAGGGAACTGCTCGAATCAATGTGAGAGGATCTACACGTTACACAAACACATGTGGATGTTCTCAGAGCTCCCAGTAATTACTTTTTTTATTGTGTGTTTACAATCCAGATGCAAAAAAGGTCCAAGACACAGATGTTGTAAACACTACCAAGACAACTGCATTTCCTATTGTGTCAAAGTAAGACACTCTGCGTATGAAGCATTTATAATACTCAAATCCTTTACAATGAATGACGTTTAACCAGTATGAGCTATGTCTTTATTTTTTCCACATCCCAGGGTTTTGTCAGGATGTTCAGTGTCGGCTACCTGATTCAGTGTTGTCTCAAAGTACCCTCAGCGTTCAGGCAGATGTTCTCCAAACCTTCTCGGCTCCCCTCCCTCTTCTACAACAAAGAGAACTTCCAGCTTGGGGCGTTTCTAGGATCGTTTGTCAGCATCTACAAGGTGCATTTCTTTCTTCCTTCACTACTTCCTACAAAACCTCTTGTGTTTACATTTACTATAGCTGGCACGTTTTCTGACATCTACGTTGCTTTTTTTTTTTTTCTTGCCAAAATATTAGAATAAATCAACAATACGACTTTACGAATGATTTTTGATAGTGTGACAGTATTATTGATTTTTCTTTTAATATAATCCCAACGTGTATTCATTAGTATTGTTTATGTGTAACTCTTTTATTTTTCACAAGTATTATTATTATTTTAAAAACATTTATTTATTTATTGAGTACAAATGACCAACAGGGTACCCCGTGAACAGCCAGCATACATTCTCAGGCGACCGTCGGTTGCAGAAACATACAATGGAAAAATAAATCAATACACTGTGCCACACTGAAAATGACTTTACCATCTCTTTAATGTGAGTGTGAGTTTTGTGACTGGGTATCATCACATGAATACAAGAACACAAGTATGAGTGCAGCAGATCAAGTATAGCCTTATAAATAAGGACATGTCGACCCATAGACAATGCAGGCCAGCCAACTCGGTCATACAGTGTACAATGATGAGTCAGGACCCTGAGATTTGTGATGAATCTCCACACGCCATGATATACACTATCCAAAGATTTGAACCACTGAGAAGATGCGTACGTTTATAAAACATCGCCGTAATCAATCAGAATCAAAATATAGAAATAAAGAAAAAAGTAAATATTCCAATACCAGATGGTAAAACAGTATTTAGAAAAGTCAAACATTACACGGACTCACTTGTTTTATTTGAGGAGGATTGTAAATGTAGACCTCATAAATCTTCAGCGACTACCCACTTCTATTACTTTAATTCTCTTAGATTTCTTTGTCTGATTTTACCACTTATGTTTGATATCATGTGCTCGAACATCTCCAGGTTTACTCATGCTTAATATCACTTATGTTGTCATCTGAGTGTAACTTTAAAAAAAAAAAAAAAGTTTTAGTTTTTTTCTGTTTGTCTTTCACTTAGGGAGCGAGCTGTTTGCTGCGCTGGGTGCGTAACATTGATGATGAACTCAACGCACTGATTGCCGGTAAGACGGGACTGATAGTGTGAACGGTTTAAATAGAATTCCTAAAGAGCAATCCTCCTCCTGATGTTGTCATGTCGCAGCTGATTTACCTCTGTTTGATGAATGACTCTTTCTTCTTCTTCTTCTCTCCATGCTTGAAGGCTTCCTGGCTGGTACTTCAATGTTCTTCTACAAAAGCACGACCATATCCATGTATCTCTTCACTAAGCTGGTGGAGGTAAGAGACGATCGAGGATAGCCAATGACAGTTCATAGAAAGTGTGTTGTCAAGAAAGTATTGATCCCTCTATGAAGGATAGACAAACAGTGCTCACTGAACAGAACACACTGAACTAATCAGTGCACCTGTATGCAGAGAATCTGTGAAAGGATTTACTGATTAAACACAGCGTTATATCTTAACGGAATCCAATAGATAAAGGAATGTTTGAGTATGTTTATGTCTTATCTGAAATATATCCATTTTGGACATTTTATCATTACCGACACATGTGTTTTTTCTGTCTTTAGACCATGTACTTTAAGGGCATCGAGGCCGGACGGTTCCCTTACTTTCCCCACGCAGACACCGTCCTGTACGCCATCTCCACTGCTATCTGTTTCCAAGCTGTAAGTTACACATACAGTCTTTCATAAATGTTATTCTCATTTTTTTTGCTGAGTTTATATCTATTGACTCGTTACTGTTCCACAGGCTGTGATGGAAGTGCAGAACCTCAGGCCCACATACTGGAAGTTCCTGCTGCGTTTAACAAAGGGCAGGTAGGAAAATATACTTTAGAATCTGTCTGCTGTATAACTATGTTTGAATCTGCTCCCTTAAAAGAGGAGTTAAGTTTATCTTTCTGAATGCTTTAAAGAGAGCAAACTCTACATTATTTAGTATAGGTAACACGTGTTTCATACTTGTGTTATTTATTCGACTGAATGTAAAATGAGCTCAATGATCTTTGAAAGATTGACTGTTTGTCAGCAGATTTGTCAAAGGCGACTCCAAAGTTCAAATATGACCTGATACAGACTTTCTGATCACTAGGTAATTGGGTTGCACACTTTTGTAAATGTTGAACATCAGTATCGGCCGACGTCTGCCCAGTTGGCAGGATATCGGTCAGACGGCAAATATTGTGGAATGTCAGAAGCCGATGTGTAATCTGATTTGTCGCATCGATTTAATGCTGGCAAGTTAGTAAACCTGACAGCTGATTCAGAGAAGAGGTTTTTTTATTGGGCAGAAGGAGAAGTCGCATGTTGGACAATCTCTGATTTGTTTTCACGGTCAAACATTAAAGAAAAGTGAACTGTGACCTTTAGAGGAGGGAAGACTAACAACAGTTTAACTAAATCACAGTTCATTAAAAAAAACTGACAAAAAGAATCACAAAAAAACAGAATCAGTGATCAACTAAGTTATTATTGAGATATTGGTATCAGCCCTGAGTTCACAATAGGTGGATCGCATTTTAGCCCTCTGTACTTTTATGTTACACATTTGCATCACTGCAATGTCTTTGTCTGATTATCACAACAGATTCAGTATGATGTCAGGGCTGCAGGGATACATTGTGGCTAACTGCTTTGCTGTCTCTTGATAATACAGATGATTTTATGTCTCCTCTCTCAGGTTTGCCCTGATGCACCGACAGTTGCTCGATGTGTTCGGGACTCAGGCCTCCAGGGACTTTAAAGGCTTTGTGCCCAAACTGGACCCTCGTTTCACCACGGTGCTTCCACCAGGAGCCGACTTCACACTCGGATGATTTGGGATCAGGGCTCTCAGCAGGCATTATAGGGTTACCTCAACAGGAAATCAGACAGTTTGGTTATTTTTCCTGAGTAATTTAAGGATTTTTTAAGAAGGTGTTATAACAGTTAAGAAGTAATGATGATGATGTGAAGAGATTGGATGTTAAGATCCAAGATCTGTCAAAAGCAGGATGTCACGTCGGGAGCATTGAATGTGTTGAGTTTTATAGGCGGGATTAAAGACAGGGTTGCTATGGATACAGGTAACTGGTAAAATAGATGAAACACATGATTTTGAATTTTACAAATACATCAGTCGAAGTATTTTTATTTGTATATGTTGTCAGACATCGACCTTCAGCTAAACAGCAGGGATGGTAGGACTAATTTAAATTGCCCCACAGTGTCACAGATAAATAAAAACATGATTGGTTGATTCGACTTGCGATTCGACAACATTCCCTTTGTTGGCACGTGTAGGTTTGTGCTGACTGAACTCAGTTCGTTATTTGGATGCTCGCTTCACATCACAGGATGAAACTCGCTAACTAATCGTTTTTTTTTTGGAATAGGGACGGGACTCCTGATTTTTGACATTGACTGAAGAACAGATTGGAGATAACTTCTCCCTGATCATTTCAGAATGTGATTTAAAGACTGTGTGTGAGACTGATGATTATGTAGCCCTATCAAATAATATATATTGTGTATTAGACAATGGAAAGTGTATTTAGATTGTGCTTTATGGTGTGAAAATACGACGGAGAAGATACATTTCAGAATGTAGTTTAGCTTTCTTTTTTATCCCCACCTTTAGTTACTGAAGGATTTTCTTAACGACTAATCTAACTAAATTAACATCTTAATGGGGTAAAAAGAAAGCATGGAGTATCATGTCAAAATGTTTAAATGTCACTAGAAGTTGTTAATGTTGTATACGGGCTGCATCTTTGTTTAACATTCAACAAGTCAGACTCGAATGACGATGCAAGGGGGAGACTTTTATTTTGAAAATCTATCTAATGCAAAGACAGAAAAATGATCAGATGGTGTTTGAAATGAATACTATAAGCCACAATACATCATTTTCAAACAAATTCTCAAAAAGTCATTGCTACTGTCAACCTGATCCATCATTCATTTTGTTCTTTAGGTGTTTAGGTAAGAAATGACCACTAATATTCACTCACACAGGACACATCCAAAGACCAGTTCAGTTTGTTGTTGTGTCACTGGCGCTCATAAAAGGCTGTTGGCTGTCTGTGTTTCTGCTTCACTTGGTTTCAAAGTGAACCCTATCACCAGACCTGGATAGAAACGCTGTTTACAGAAGAGTTTGCATATGGGCAACAAGCAATCTTATTTCTTTGAATCAAAATCACACATCTCATTCTTTTTCTTTTCATGATTTCTGCTGCTGAGCGAGATTAGGGGATCCGACAGAAAGATGTTTAAAATATATTTCATGTTCTCATAAATCACATTGGCTTTGCTGTGAATGAAATAACAGGGAAAGTTTTGTGCTTCTGTTCTCATCGCAAAATGACACTTAAATGCATTTCCGATATCAGTCGCACAATAAATGAAAGCTTGATTCCAGATGTGAAATGTTTTGTATTTGCTTACTTTCAGTTTTGCTTTTAATCTTCAGACTCAACCAAGCTTTAGACATAACTGACCTCCAAACCAGAAGCCATGGTTGTAGACAGGTAGAGAACAAAATACACTTTTAGACTTAAGTATATGTTTAAAAAATATATATATATATATATATGTGTTAACTAAATCTATCTCACAGGATTATATTCCAACTCTGCAAATGTTCTGATTTATGTTAAAGGATGTTTATTAAAACATTTTTGATTTGACGTGCATGAGGTGTTTGTGTTCTGTGTGTAGTTTGATTTCATTCATTGTTCAATGTGAAGGGCGAACCAAAAAAGGAAATGTGTGGACTTGGTCTTCACTGAGGACAGAGGCTAGAAACCAAGAGAAGTTATTGATTCATCTGACGGCTGTTTCCTGTTCTGGTTTTCTCTATGGCCTTACCTTATTGTGAAATTAAGAACTTAAACATAGAGAAACATGCTGTAGCCGATCTTTTGTTGCTGGCTACTCTTTATATGCAATCACATTTCTTAACACTTCTTAATGTTTAGGATTCTTCTATGATAGAAATGCAGCACATGCAGAGACAATCAGGCATACTGCTCCTTTACTCTTCAAGTTTCTCTTTATCCCAAAGCCTCAGGATTCCAAATAGCTGCAGTGACAGATACCATTCGTTGGAGACGGTAATCAAATATTACTTGTTTTTACTGTGTTGAAACTGTTTCACAAAATTCCAAATAATCCATTGTGCACTTTTAACTTGCAAAATTGGGAAAGAGTTATCAAACTCCTGAGGTAAAGGTTATTTGTAAGTTAGGAAAGGCAAGTAAAAGGTACGCTATCTGAGCCCTGCTGTTTCTTCTCTTTAGTAAAGTCTCCTAAACTGTGTCAGTCTCTCTGTGTCTTAATAATTTTAAGTCTTTTTTGATTCACCAGTTTATCAAGGACATGATAGAGAATGAGCAAAAGGATGCAATCGATGTAATCATTGCAGATCTGTAGACAATGACTATTATAGACAAGAGGATGAAACTAACTTCAGCATATTCATCAGCCCATATTGACCAGTTCAACAAACTAACTCCATAATTTGATAATTTACCATAATTGAAGTCCAACAAAGGGTTGTCAAAGCACTCCAATTTTAAACTTAGACACAAAAATCAAACAATGTTAATGCCTAATTTCGATACTTCTTGTTTTTAATTAGAAAATTCCACTAAAATGTTGGCAATGCTTCAGTTCAGATACCATGCAATTTCGACAGTGAGTCAATCCGAAGGCTGATTTTATTCATATTCACGCACGGTCTTTTGAAATAGATAGATAAAATAAAAAGTTATAATTTCCCAAAAAGTATTGTCAATTTTGCCTTAGTCCAGCAGTGATTCCTCATGACCTTGGAGACCTTAACATGACACCTTAAGACACAAAATAAATAAAAATCCCAGAAAAAAAAAAAAGATATACATTTAAGGGAGTTTCCCTCTCTGGACAACATTTCCAACTCTTTTCTTTTCAATGTTCTCCACGGCCCTTTAGTTTACAAGACTGCAGCGTCTGTAATCTGTCTAGGGAGGCAGTGAAGAGTTCAAGATGCTTTAACTTCACCACAAATGTACGAGAAGAAGAAATCAATACAGGAAGTATGTGTATCTAAGTCAAGTAGATATCTTTAACCATACTCTTTCTGTTTCCTTCAAAGTCAAAGTCAACAACTTTGTTGTCAATTTCAAAATATGCCAGACATACAGTGGAATCGAAATTGCGTTTGTCTCCGTCCCACGGTGCAATACAACCAAAATAAGGTAAAATAGATAAAAAAGATATATAGATAATAAAGATATATAGATAATATAAAATATAGATAAAATGAGGTAAAAATAAGAAATAATATTTACAGTAATAAATTCTAAATTGTGCAAAGGTACAAAATGGTAAATAAAATAAAATAAAATTTAAAGAAAAAGAAAAACTTCCTACTCAGAGCAAAAGCCTGTGAAAATAAACTTGTGTGTGTAAATAATAACAAATAATCAATTTTTGGAACTTCATTGACTTCTAGGTAAACTGAAACTTTTTTTCTTCTTTTTTTTTTTTAAACAAAAGTCACATCGTGTAGTCAAGAATTCTACACTTTATTTTGAAAGGTTCCGGAAGTGATTCGTTTCCTCGCGTCATCACATGTCAGCAGCTTTAACTCTGCATCACTGACCACTGCCTACACAAGTGACTACAAAGTTAGCATAGAAGCTTATACTTTAAATGTGTATCCATGGGGGGTAAAAATAAACAACGTACAAAAGGAAATGTTCGGGTGAGTAACCAGAAATGTGAATTAACTTACAGAGTTAATACTTAAGACTTGCTGTCAACAAACCCGAGCAGGAGCTAATGTAAACTTTGAAGCTAACGCTACATGTGACTGTTTGACTCCATCTGTTTCATAAGCACAACGTTTCCGTGAGGGCTAACGTCAATATGCTTTTAAGAGGCTTACCTTACCACATGTTGTTTTTTTTTTTTTCTCTTGCTACTAGCCGTCCAGTAGTGGCCGAGCTGCTGAGGTTCTTACCCGGGAAGGAGGCGTCATCCCGGGCTTTGTGGGCTTCGACACAGCGCTGACTTCGGAGCTAAGTTATGTTCCTGCTGTTCACGGAGCCGAGGAGATAGACAACCTGGTAGATGCTGACTTCAGACTGGTGCTCAGGAAACTCTCCAAGAGGGATGGTGTCACCAGACTGAAAGTAAGTCCATCTTTAAGATAAGATAAGATATGATATACTTTATTCATCCCAGCAGGGACATTAGGTGTTCCAGCAGCCAGCATACATACAAACACACAACACAACACATATATACAGACATATCCCACCCATACAAAAGAACATGAGCCCACAATACAGTTTGATATATGATATATGCAACTCAGGCTAAAGTTTACAAGTGTCCAACCCTCTGGTCTTATAGGCAGAGCCAACATCCCTCAAATAAATCTTATCCATCACAGACTACTTGTCCTTTTAATTCTTCTTACTTTATTTATACAGTCAGACCACTTACAAAATGTAAATAGGCTGTTTATGCAGCCCACTGTTAATGAATTAAGTGTTCTGTTTTGTTTGAATTAATGTTTTGTAAAAGAGGGGCAGATATTATGATATAATTGTTTTTTTTTAATGAAATAAAATTGACAAAAAATAAATAAAATAATCACTTTGTCTGACACCTACGTCCCTGCAGCAGAAGTTTCACAAGTTAATAACAACTATATAAATAATCAGTCTTTCTTGCTGATGGTCTTCCTTCCTTTTTAAGGGTCAGGGTTACAGCCATTAAGAGTCGTTTCAGTCTGTTTCATAACCTGTTTAAAATCCCTCACAGGAGCTTTAAATAAGCACCCCCTTGTTGAGTATGTTTAGATTGATCTAGAACAGGGGTGGGCAACTGGCGGCCCGGGGGCCACATGCGGCCCCCATCAACCCTAAACGTGGCCCTCGGGTCAATTTTTACACATAAATTAATTGGAAACATGAAGAAAAACATGACAAAATCTGCCATGAAATCATGAAAACCAGAAATATGTGTATAATATATTTGATCACTGGTATATATGTTGAGTTAAATTGGAGACATTGTTGACTGTAATCGTTTTTGTATCCTACAATTTGGCCTCCTGGCAGTGAGAATTAAATGAATGTGGCCCTTGCTGTGACCAAAGTTGCCCATCTCTGATCTAGACTATTGCTGCTCCTGAGTGCTAAATGTTGTGTCCTCCTCTCAGGCTGTGCAGGACTTTGGGTCCATGTGTCAGGAACGGGATGCTGAAGAGGTTAAGGGGGTCCTGCCATACTGGCCAAGGATTTACTGCAAGATCTCAGTGGTGAGCTGATTATTTACAATACATGAATGACTTCTTGTGGAAATAGTTAGATTCCACTTTCTTTACATTCTTTTTTTATTTGCTGAATGTTTCTATTTATGGCAGTAATTTTACCATGTGTGTGTACTAGCTGCACTTTATAAATAATGGAAGATCAGCTAATGATGGTTTGTTTTTACACTACCTCTGCCACTTTAATACCACTTAACTGTTTCTCTTGGACAACATTTAGCCCGATGTTTCTACCTATTCATTCTCAAATGTCTTATGTAGCATCACTATTGTTGAGGTACAACATTTCATCTCCCTTTGTACTTGTGTAATGTTGAAATGACACCAAAGAAACTTGACGTGTCTTGAATAATTCAGCTTGCATATTTAAGTAAACATTCTAATGCCCATCAAAGTATTTTGATCAATCCTATCCTTCCAAGCAACTGTGAATCAAGTATCCCATACAGACAAGGCAATTGATCAACACATTAAAGCAATATCAAAGACAAGTGGCTGGTTGGAGCCACAATCTATCTAGAGATGACATTTTAATGGATGTGAGTGTAAATATATGGCACGTCTACATTTTGTCTCCATTGTTCTGACTCATCAGGACCATGACCGCAGGATCAGAGAGGCCACCCAGCAGGCCTTCGAGCAGCTGGTGCTGAAAGTACGACGCAGCATGGCGCCTTTTCTGAAGAGCTTGATGGGCCACTGGATTCTGTCCCAGTGTGACCCTCACACACCTGCAGCCTCCGCTGCCTGCCAGGCCTTCCAGGCTGCTTTCTCGCCCACCAAACAGCCAGAGGCTCTCAGCTTCTGCAAGGATGAGATCCTTAACGTGAGTAGTAGTGGTGGGGAGTCTCACAAGTATTAACATATGAGACAAAGTTCATGTGAAACTGTTTTTTTTTGTGTTGCAGGTACTTCAAGATGTCTTGTTAAAGGAAACAGCAGAAACACTTAGTGATCCACAGTAAGTATGCTAAGATGCTTATAGTTTCTGTGTCCTTTTATTTTATTGCATGGACCCAATAATACTTTGTTCAGTCAGTCTTTACTGAGAGAAAATGGTTCTTCTTGTTTTTTTTTTTAGAAGTGTGACCGAAGAGGAAAGAGAAGCTAAATATGTACGCATGCTGACCAGTTCTCTGTTGGGAGTGAAGAGACTCCTCTCGCTGCTGCTCCAGAGTGACAGGACGGCCCTGGAGCAAAGACTAGCACATCTTGTGAATTCTGGGAAGTTCTGGAAGTACAGCAAACACAAGACACCACAGGTACTAGAATAAGACTGCTGTATGTATTCTAGATGAACTAGTCCAGCTATATCCAACTTAATATCCATCATTCTAGCTATATGCACATGATGCTATTCCTCTCAACTAAAATTCCCCCCTTCCTTCTTCATCAAACCTCAAGCAAAAGAAACGACAGACCAATCACGTTCCCTTAAATTCCAAAAGCTCTGAGTTTCTGTTTGAGTAAAGTGTGATTAAATGTCTTTGGTTTCCTTTAATTTAAACAAAGTGCCCATGTATTGTGGGTAGGTTTACGCGTTAGAAGGGTTAAACTGCATTATTCTAGATACTCTACATGCAATGATCCATTGTAAAAACAGACATTTCCCTCATCGCTACCGTGTCATGTTTGTCAGGTGCGAGGGGCATTTTTCGAGATGATGTGCGCTCTGTGTGAGTTCACCCCGGGACTGGTCCAGGCCGAAGCAGCACGACTCTGCCCTGCTGTTCTCCTCAGCATCGACGACACAGATCCTGTAGTGCTGCCTCCAGTGTGGGAAGCCGTCCTTCACGTCGTGTCAACAGTCCCTGTAAGTCCGTGTTGAAAGGATGACCTTACATATGAGTCATGCTCAGGCCGTTATATTACCAACTGTTACATGATGTTGTCACCCTCCATGTTATAAAAGGAGATGTTATAGGTAGTGCAGTAGTTGTGGCGTCACAAATTTGTTGAAAATGAAGTCGATTTGTTTCCTTTTTCTTTTTAAGTTGCATGTTTTTTTTTTAAATCCTTCCACTCCAATTTCAGGACTGCTGGTCACATGTGAATGCCAAGAAGGGCTTCTTACCTAAACTCTGGACTCAACTGAAAGAGGGAGGTAAAGGCATGGCTAAAGCCCTCCATCCTAACCTAATGCCCCTCCTCAGCAAGCTGCCCCAAGAGGTCACTGATCCCACCCTGGACTTCTACACTACCTTCTTCACTTCATTCATGCAAGGGTAATTTGTTTTTCCTTTTGTTCTTGTATTTATCCTTAACTGATTTTATAGTTATGATATGTGAATTTAAGGGGAACTGAAAACATCATAGTAATGGGTTTTCATTGTAGAATTCTCTGTTGGTCGAAATAATGATTATATATAGTTTTGTTAATAATTCAAGGAAATGCAGTTGATTTGACATGTTTGAAGACTTTTTCCTGATGTAATGCAGATAAAAAAAACCTGTTAATTCAGTGAAGCTATCACTAGATTTTACTTCAGTTATAGTAAAATACACTGATTCATGTATTGCCCTTGTTCTTTTAATTTCTGTATCCCTCTAAACTTGATTGTCTGTGTGTTTGCCTCAGTCTGTCCAGTGAGCGTGCCCTCACAAGCCCATCAGAAAGTGCTGTTATAGTGACTTCTCTTGTCGAGTGCTTGAAGTATTGCATCGTGCACAATACAGAAGAAGAGGAGCCCCAAAAAATACGGACCATGCTTATTTCACAGCAGGTGTGATTACTCAGCAGAACAGACTTAAAAAAAAAAAAAAATTAAGCTCCAACCTTTCTTACGTTGTTTTGTCTTTTTTGTAGCTCCTCCCCCTGCTGGAAAAGGCTCTCGGTAACTCCTCCCTCCAGAACGGCCCTCTTTTCCTTTTGGTCACAGAAATGCTTGTTTCCTGGGAGAAGAAGGCTGGTGTACAAGGAGCAGGTGAAGCAAATGGCAGCAAGGATGTCTTCAAAGGGCTCCTGGCAGACTTCTGGGAGGGGCTTGGTCTGATATTCGTGCGTTATGTGGACAATGAGGAAGCAGATCCGCAAGCTTTGGAAGGGGTAGCCACCTTGCTGCAGGTGAGTTTGTTTTGGTTAGTCTTCGGTTCAGAAACATCCCTAACTGACATCTCCATGCCGACACTAACAATACAGCAGGTCTATATGGCTGCCAGAACCATTCTTGTCTTAAACAGTAGCTAAAGTGAAACAGAAAACTAAAGCCTGAGTAAATCTTTTCTCCATTCCTCTTAAATCTCCAGGTGATGCGTTACCCTGACAGAGTAAAAAGAAAGCACGCACAGAAGAAGAAATCTGTCAAGATCTGTTTCTCTAAGCCAGAGGACAACGAGAAAACTGGAGTGGACGGGGATGCTGTGGAGAGGCCCTTACAGACGGAGCCTGAGCCTTGAATGAGAGGGTCTGCTCTCCACAGACCCAGCATTTTGAGGATACCGTGTGCCAGCTGGCCCAGCTGTGCCTGGTGCATGTGAATGAGAAGAAGTCAGAAAAACATCTTGTTTTCCTCTCCCTTCTCCTGCGGTCTTTCCACACTCCCAGGGTTTTCAGTGTAAGTCATATTGGATGATTTTAACTTAAAATGTATTTGACTGCAAGTTGTTTTGAATCTTTGTGAGGCATCCTTTGAGGATTATTTTTCTGTGTAAGGGCCAAAATCTGTGAAAAATTTGGACAATTGAAAGGGCAAAGTTTCTTTTTCTTCAAAGAACTTCTGGTACACTTTGAACAAGTTGCCTTCCAGACAGTTTTTGATCTTTGGAAGGCTTCCTCTGAGTTTAATTAGTCTTCGTAAGAGAGGAAAAGCTATGAAAAATATTTTAATCTTATGTAGAAATGTGGTACATTTTGAAATGTTTGGAAAGTGGGGACATCAGCCTTGTTAACTGTCTTTTATATTGAATAATAAAACAGTTCCTTAACACCATTGACACTTCTCTTAAACTGCATATCTTAGACATTGGTTGAGCTGGACGATGAAGTAAAGGACGCTGTGCATAATGAAGTGGTGAATATTCAAAATCCGGCGATGCAGTTCCTGCTGGAGCAGGTGGTTGTTTGGCTGGCGGAGAAGGGACGTCTAGACACTGAGCATCTGGTGGAGATGGTCTTCAGCTCCCTCTACTGTTGCAGCTCGCAGGAGGCCACCCGCATCCTCAACCACATCACCACGGTACCATAAGATTCATGACCCTATGTTGATTCACATCGGTAGTGTTAAGTGTGGTGATCCCTCCTCTTACTGTTAGTTTTTCTGATGATACTTTGCTGACATCTTGACCCTAACTTTGTTTTCCAGATGGATTTACAGTGGGGAATAATCCTTCAAATCATACAAAGGGTATGTGTAATGATGTTTACTTAAACACTTTAAGGAAGCTGCATGAGACATTATGTGTTGTTATATACGTATGCATCACATTTTCACCTGTGTAGACTTCTGAGCTACCTTGCTGTTTTGTCTTTTCAGGCATGTGCAGACCCTGAGACTCTTAAGAGCTGCAGGGATTGGCTGAGAGGTTCAGTTCTGGGTGAGCGGCTCCTGGGATTGACTGAGGAGCTGTGCAAAGTTGGAAACAGCTCTGCCAGTTCTAGCTCTTTGCGAGCAGCCACAGTTGGACGCTTATCAGCCTTGTTCTCTCTCAACACCACAACAATGGTAAAAAAAAAAAAAAAAAAACTCTACAGCTTATTCTTTTTTTTCAGTGGCTTTCTCTTTATTCTGGTTTATAAAAATTTATCAGTTGCCTAAATGTTTTCTGCCTCTGAATTCATGGATTTTCTTGTCAGTCACCAAGCTATTAATTTACATTATGTTATGTATTTACTTGCACAGAGCCTCTTATAGGTGAGGTATACATGGAGAAGATCTTAGAGAAGCTCCATGCCACGCTGTCTGAGGCAAAGAGTCTGTCGGATGCAGGCAACATGGAGCCACTCATCTCGTTCATCTGCGACGTGGCCTCCACCTTCTTCTCCTCTGTACAAGACTGTCTTCTGCTGCGCTCTGCGGAGGAACTCCTGTTCACCGTCTTCCAGTTCACCGCCAAAGATCAAGCACACACTCACCTGTCTGGTAGGAACTCTCACAGTGCACAGACACACATTCTTTGTTTTATCTGCATTCACATTATGTTCTATGTTTGTATAGTCTCCCTAACAAACTAACTCTTGGTATTGCTGTGTAAAGATGTACTTTTAGGTAAGCTGAGAAAAGTGTGTATATCCGGGGTCCAATCGTTGACCCAACAACCTGATTATGAGTTTGAAGAAGAAGGTTTCCTGCACAGGGCAGCCCATTGGGTGACAAACCAACTACTCACTGTCTCAAGCATAAAAAGGTAACAGCTGACGTATTTTCCAAAGCACCCAGGTATTGTTTTTTTTGGCAATCCATTCTAGTCCAATAAGTTTAACCACATCTTAATATCCCTATCCCTGAGCTTTGTCATGCATCTACCTAACACGTCCTGGTGTGATGATTCAGTTTGCAGGTTCTGGTCCTGGCTGTGCAGAGCTTAATGGAGGCAATGATCTCTGCTTGCGATCGAGACTCCCCCCTCCTCGCCCACTTCTTTACTGCACTGATGCCAAGCCAGACAGAATGGACAAGAATCAGACAGGCGTTACCTCCTCAGGTGAGACAGCCAGTCAATCACTTTTACCTCAAGAATACCACTTTAGCCAAACAGTGGGTATGAAGAATGTGTTGCTTCAGTATTCTGGTAACTTAAATCCTCAGAAAACACCTGCAAATAATGTGTTAACCACCCCCCCCCCCTTTTTCCTGTACTCTTTAGTGGATCAAAACTCCCTTACTGTCTGGTCAGTACAGAGGAGTTTTTGAAAAACCCACCATGGACATGTGGAAGTCAAGGCTGTCAACTAAGCTGCCGGCCCACCTGTGCGTGTGTGCCCTGCTGGGGAGGGTTGCTCGTACTGTGGCTGGTGACCAAGAAGAGGCAGAATGCTCGTCACATCTGCCAAACCTCAAGAACACAGGTAAACACACATACAAACCCACACACAGGACATGCATACTTTTTTTTTTTTTTAACTTTATGTTGGTCTCTTTTATGTTTATATAAATTTTCTTCCACAGCTTCAGAGCTGTTGTATGCCCTGCAGTGGTGTAAGGAGGCAGAGTACGGCCCTGCCTTGGTGTCTACCTACCACAGTCTGCTGGGTGACTGGGGGCTGTCAGAGGGACTCCACAGCCTTGTTCCAATGAAAGAACTGCTGGAGACTATTTACCTGAGGTGAAGAACATTCATTGACTTATTTTATCATTAAAATATATTTTTAAAATATACTTGTATCTTTCCCCTTTCAACTTCTTGTATCCCCCTGTGCTTATATATCTTTCCACTTTATTAAAAGGGGAAAAGACCTCTTTTTGTAACTTGTCTGAAAAGTTGTCCCCAGCTGTAAACACTTGTTTCCTTACCCTGTAGATCAGTTGAGTGTGGAGGTCTTTGGTCTCTGACCCTTGAAAACTACATCCAAACCAACAACTTGGCGGCCACTCACACTTCCACTGTGAGGAAGCTTTACGGCAGTGCAGACAGGTGAGTAGTTTGTTTGTTAATGTTGTTAAAATACTTTACATTTTTAGTTGTGGTCCCGCGATTAAGACTTTATTGTATAATTAAAGTTGTCCCTGTTGTGCTCAGCTTGTTCCCAGTGTCCCAGAGCAAACTGAGCACGCTCCAGGTGCTCTGCCCGACCATGACTAAGGAGGACAGAGACTCTCTCGTCGCTCTGTCTACTGCTGGCATAATCAATTGGCAGGAGAATGACGGTAAAAATGTACACTTAAAAAAACAACATGAATGAACAGATATTGGACTTGAACTATACTAAAAGTTATTTTGGCTTTTTTTTGTGTCTCAGATGTGTACGGGAGTCTGGCGGTCCTGATGTGCTGTCTGAAAGCTGACACACATATAGAGGAGGAGGTTGTTCTGGCGATCCTCGCCACCATGATGGAGTGGCGGAACAGCAAGGAGGACTGGTTCCTCTTTGCCAGGTAAAGATATAACACACACATTTACGTAGTGGGTTTACATTGTTATTCTATCTCTTAAAACAGTTTGAATTAACTTCATGAGTACTGCATGAAACTCTCCATTTCTTCTATTTATTTATTTATTTGAGCTTTTAATCATCTGATATGAAATTTTGAAAACATTTTAAAATTTTTCCCAGCATGCCAGTGTGCATTCATGTAGCTACACATTCCTATTTATAGAACTTGTATATATGTTATTGAGCATTTTATCTGACGCTTTAAAAACAGAAAATAGAGATACTGAGAAGGGAAGGGTTCCAGAGAAGCTCAATTTGCTGCAAAAATGATTCACTGCATTCCCTTTTCTGTCACTGTAACACTGCACAGCCATTTCTCCATGACAGGTTCCTATAAAAACATTGGAAACTGTTTATTCAGATATTTTATATTAATATAGGTTTGTCACGTGCTTCCTTTTCAGTGATCTGTCGAAAGCAACTGCAGACCAGTTAAACGTCACAGTGGAGATGATGCGTTTCCTGTCCTGGCTGGTGGCTCGTTGCCCCACAGTTCTCGGAGGCGGCCAGTGGGACTTCTTGCTCTGCTCTATGTTAGCCTGGTTGGAGGTGAGACATGGCTCATACTCATTGTGCTGTTCTGAGATTTTGAGATCAGGGTCAGGTCTAGTCAGGACTGAGTTTCTTGTAAAGTGGACCTGGTTGGAAGTTTCCTGATGAGGGGTGTTTCACTCTTAAACTTGGGGATATGTGTTTTCATTTTACTGACTTTGGTTGTATGATAACTCCTACATAAGCTTTATTCACACTCAGTTCACATCACCCTTTTTCCTGTTAAAAGTGCCACTGGAATGGGTCATGAAGTGGCAGAGATATATATTTCCATATTGATATTTTGTCCTGCCCCTTTTTATGATATATGTTTTGAACATCTCTAGCACTCTATGTATGGCTCACGTCTAATCTCCCTCCCTGTCTCGGGCTGTATTTGCTTCCTTCTTTCCTAGACTGCCAGTGAGAACGTGAGCAGTCTCTGGAACCCATGGGTGCAGCTGTTTGTGTGTGAGAATGCTACATTGATAGTGAAGCTGAACCACTTCTTCACATCGTCTTCGCCTGAGGTACTGGAGAAGCTGCCAGCAGAACTGGCTGCTGAATGGAAAGACTTCTTTGTTGAAGGGATCTACAACCTGCTGCTGGCTCTGCCTATCAGTATCACAGGTGTGTGTGCAGATTTGACTTCAGGAGGTAATGACACAAAAGCTAAGAAATCAGCCCGCTCTAAAAGTCCATGCATTACAAAAAAAAACCTTTGTATGTAACACATCACTCTGCATTATTACATGTATGCATATTTGATTAAGCTCCACACATATTATTGTGATTTACAAGCAGAGAAGTCAAATTTTCTCTTTCTGTTTTTTTCTCTTTTAATGCAGATACCTTTACTGAACCGGATGACCCCGTGTTTCCTTTGGCGGTGCTGCAGTCAGTTGGTGCAGCTCTGACATATGTTCCTGTGCAGCAGCTGACACAGAACTCACTACCCCCAAAGTTCATAGCGGACCAGAAAACAAACCTGCCAGAGCCCCTCCAGACGCTCCTCAACACCTTCTGCCCTCTGCTGCTGTTTAAGGCCAGGCCTCTGCAGATCACAGTCTACCACTTGTTAGAAAAGTAAGGGCTTTCTTATTCGGTGTATAATTAGACTGCCTGAGGCTATCCTCCAGTGTAATGATTAGAGTGTCACAGCTATACTGAGATTTTGAAGCTCCAGCTTGGCTTCCCAGTTCGGGAATGATCAAATGAAGAGAAGTTGAGTTTACTTGCTTATTGTCCCTATAGGGTGATGCCTCAGCTGCCCGAGTGTGATGGAGAAGGAGACACCAGCAAGTCAGAGGATGATAGAGACGAGCCATGTCTGTAAGTCAAAGGGGTGGAGGGATCACATTACCGTTGCTTTTTACACAAATGTGATGTTTTTCTGGATAATTGGGGTTGCCACGTGGGTCTTTACAATACAAGACTTGAGTATCTTTGGATTTAATGAAGCTCATTTCTCACAATTATTTTGTTTTCACTTCTGTGTTCAGCTCTCCTCCAGCATCTCTGATGGCCATTCTGTCAACCTGTGAGGAGCTGTGTGATAGCATCCTGGTGGGCGTCCAAGTAGGAGAGTTTGCAGATGTTCAGCCGCTCAGTGTGGAGTACTCCTGCATCCTCGGCTACTTACTGGCCTGGAAGTTGCTCCTCACTTTTTTCAAATCCTCACCCTCCCATGTAAGTCATGATCAGTGCTTATTGTTTGTAGATGCAAAACAGTTTTGCTTTTCTAGTTTGCTAGTTGTGCATTCAGTAGAGTGTATGGTTGTTCATTGTTTATTCCTTTTTTAACTGGTGAAAAAACATGACAGGTTAGTGACTTAAAAGACAAACAGTAAAATACAAAGAAAAAACCAAGTCCGTGCGTGAGTCCGCGCGGACGCCCGCACATCGGAGAACAACACAAAACATGACAGCTATTTTGTGGCTTATATTGTGCCATTTTAGTCTGATACAGCCATGAAACTCTGGATTTCTCCATAATGAAGGCAGTCAGCGTTGTTTACCCGCATGCTTGTGCTCGTGCATGAAGTGTACCGTGCCGAAGCACGCCTCTCCGAAGTGTGCCAAAGCCAAGGAAGTGTACCGTGCCTGAGCACGATACGGAGCGGTCAAACGAACTGGACTTTAGCATTGAAGCGTGCTTGGGCACGGTACGGATGACCAGTGTGACCGTGCCCTGAGAGAGAAAAGAAGAAAATGGGGAGAAATGGAGCCAAGCACAACTCTACCAAAGCTCAGTAAATGTTTTAGTAAGATGGTCATAATAAAACCATATGATAGTTTGTAAAGTGTTAAATATTATAAACAAAACCATAATTTATAAGAAGGCAGTCCAGCGCCACTAAAGTAATGGTTTAACATTTATTTTAATACATTATTGTATACTGCAACAATAACCACCACAGTGCTTATACAGTAATGAGGGATTCGGCCGTCTTGAATGAAATCAAGCCACTCTTAAACAGCTGATGAACTCCATGAACACAGTCACGAAGTGTTGATATTTTTGTCCCTGTATTGACTGCTCTTCTTCATCTTTTCCAGCTGCGTGCCCATTATGCCCAGTATCTCAAGAGAAGCTGCTCCCTTAACAAGCTCCTCCTTCACCTTTTCAAACTGATGCCTGAAAGCCCAAACTACCCACTCCAGGGGGCAGAGACAAAGGAGTCCAAAACCTTCTTTACAGAGAGCCTGTCTCTGGCAGTTGACAGTAAGTAGCACCTACACCTCTTCCTTACATTACGGTGAAATTATGTAAACTAGCTTTGACTTCTCATACCTTGTTTTGTTTTTTTTGCCTGCAGAGAGCAACAGTATTGAGTGGGAGCTCCCGCATCTGGCCTGCAGTGTGTACTACAGCACGGTGCAGGACCTGCCGGCCATGGTACGTCTGTGGTGGAACAGCCAGGAGAAGAGAGTGAGCGCCGCTGTGGAGAAGTTCACGACTAAATACGTCAGTCCTGTCCTATCAGCGCAGGAGATCTCATCTGTCCACTCCAGCACTCAAATGTTTGAAAGCATGACAGTAAGTTGGAAGAAGCTTTCACTTGTTTTATGTTACATGCAGCTCTAAAAACATGTCATGTGAAATACCAAGTCCTGGCATATGTGCTTAATGTGCCCCTTAGGTTAAATCAGAAGTGTAACAATCAATCAGATTTGAATGACTTGATTCAGTCGACATCATTTTAAATAATAAAAATGGTAAAGCGGATATCAGTTTACTTGACTGAAATACCCCTGAAGGCAAAAACAAAACAGCTTGTTGACTTATTTATCTTATCACCCCAGGTGAAAGCCCGCTCAGCAGCACGGGAGGTGATTGCTACCTATTCTGTGGATGACATCTTCATCGAGTTGGTGATTCAGTTGCCGCAAAACCACCCTCTAGGCTCCATCACTGTCGAGAGTGGGCGGCGCGTTGGCGTTGCCGTACAGCAGTGGAGGAACTGGATGTTGCAACTGAGCACCTACCTCACACATCAGGTAAGAACACACACACACAATGGATGTAAGTGTGAAAAGTTGGTGTTTTTAAAGAGAGAAAAAAAAGTGTCTGAAGGCCTGCAGTAAGATCATAATGTGTTTTGTGTGTTCAGAATGGCAGTATTATGGAGGGGCTGGCTCTGTGGAAGAACAACGTGGATAAGCGCTTTGAGGGAATAGAGGATTGTATGATCTGTTTCTCCGTTATTCACGGCTCCAACTACTCCCTGCCCAAAAAGGGCTGCCGCACCTGCAAAAAGAAATTCCACTCAGCGTGTCTGGTGAGTTATATCTGCCAGGATCATATATTCTGTGCCTTCTTTGCAAATGTTCAAAATATCTATTTACATGATACACATAATGAGCATTCTTTTATGCCTTATCGATCATCATAACGGAGAGATAACAACAGCACATTTTCAGTTTTTTTGGTAGAATGGTGTTTCGTAAAAAAACTAATTTAAGGCATAGAGAGCCCACTAATGATGTTATATATTAACTCTCTGTTACATCCTTCAATTATATATAAATAAACGTAATTTAACATTAACAAAGACAACATCAAAGTGAACATACTTTGCTTTTTATTAAGTTCTCTTTTGTCTCTTTTTCCTCTTCTTTCTACAGTATAAATGGTTCACTTCCAGCAACAAGTCCACCTGCCCGCTGTGCAGAGAAACCTTCTTCTAACACACTTCAATAAAGACTGCTGTTGTAAATGCATGAACAAGGTTAGAAAGGAACTCTTTTATGAAAAGGTATTGATGGAAATCATTGTCAGAGGTTTGCTTTAGAGGACATGGACGGCATTACTGGGTTAAGAAAATCATTCTCACTGGCAGTCTGAACTCAAATACGGGAACATTAAGTGAAGATTGTTTTCTGGGTGACTGTTGTGTTTATATGATTAGTCATGTGATTTAGCTGATGACGATTTCTTCAATCCACTGCTTTAGTGGACTGTATATGTGCAGCATCAGAAACTCCATTCTGAGGTTCATCTGTAATTATTGAGTTTGACTTTTGATTTTTAAAGACCAGATTTTTTTATTTCTAAAAATGGAAGTGTTCGATGATGCTGAATCACAGAGATGGAAAACCAAAGTGTGCCAGTTGCTTTAGGTGAAGGATTTGCACCTGCTGCAAAGAGTCAATTTATAGACTCACTGATAAAATACCACATTATTATTGCAATAACCAGGACAGGTTCCACAAATATTTCCTAATATTTAGGAGTGTAAAGGGAGGATGTCTTATTGATGGTGAGGCCTTGTGCCATCATGAAAGGGCAAGATCACCTGTGCAAAGCAGGAGAGGAAGCTGCTTTAGGTTTTATATTTGAAAATGCCTATGCTCACATCTATCAACACCTTTTGATTTGTGACCTTCCCCCGGTGCCTGCAACTGTAAATGATGCTGGAAAAGTAAATAAAATACATTTCAATCAACTTTTATGGATTCAACGTGTCTTTGATCCAACCTCCCCCCTCCCCCTTTTAAATAGGGTGCATGCACAAAAAAAGTACAAGGCCCTATCCACACAAACTCATTTGATGAACTATTTTGTTATGGCTTTTCATTATAGTGTTAAATGCTGAGCTGGCAGCCTTGCTGGATGTTATAGTTAACGGAACAAAGAAGTGTATACTTATTCCCAGTGGCTGAGTTATGTATTACAGAACAATGCATATGCATATTTAAATCTTGCATACAAACCTTTACTCTTTGATCATTTAGCTACTGGTGTATTGTTATGCTCAAGACCAAGTAGATTCCTTTGCTAAAGCTGTCCTCTTATTATGACGATCACTTTCTGGACTATTGCAGGTTACTGCGTTTAAGAACAAGATCTAATCTAATAATGACTTTCTGATCTGAAGATGCTCAAAGCTGTAAGAGAATTAAGACGAAACATGTGGTTAGAGATTTAATTCCAACTGTGACCAGCTCCCCCGCTCTTCTTAAAATGAACAAGTTGCACAGGTATATAGGTCATTAAGTGTGACATTTATGATCTGCCCTCACAAACTGTATTCAAAGTCAGCTAATGAAGCCCAATTGCCTCTGTGAACTGTGATGTTAGCCTGAGCCTCAAATTACAGTTTGAAGGTATTTCCATATCACTGTTACTGTAAGTTAACCTGTGCTGGTTTCCAAGAAAAGACTGTAATTAGCCTCAGCCTGTGACCGCTGGCACCAGCCCCCCACGCTCATTTATCTCAGGTCCACCTCCTCCTGATGTTGAATAATTTATCTGTTTAATGGAGGCTCGCTCTCATCACACTTGTTCCTATGGAATTCATTATGACAGATTAAGCATGATCAATGAATGAATCCCTATCATTTGGTCTGTCGTGTGTATGCATTTGTAATTCATTACTGCGGTCAGAATTGATCAATACATACAGCCAGTATCCATCATCATCTGCCCTTGACCTTTTTAATAGCCATTGATCTGTTTGCCAGGCATAAATATTTATATTGAAATCCCCGTCTCTCACAGGTTTTGACACACAAACACTCACACGGACAGCACCGAATCTTATTGCTCATTATCTGCTTGATTAAGCAGTGGGGCAAACGTTATGAACTACAGTAGAGTCGACTCTCTTTTCAAAATAAAGGTCACCCGTCACCAGAAGATGGCAGCATGAGCTCAAGACACAGGACGCAGGACTACAAGATGTGAATGAATCTGACAGAAAGGAGGATCTGGACTGTTTTTGGGAGATTAAATTACCTGCAAAAAGCAAACTTGTACTGCTACACTTTCTGCCGTGTGTTGTAGATCAGACAAATAACTTTCATAATTAATGGGTAACTTTAAAAATGGAATTAATGAAGGCTCTCACAGGGATTATTAATGTGCCATCTTTAATTACTCTAATGAATTTGATGAATAAATTCTCTCACAGTGCTGGAACCTATCTGACATGACAGACGGAGACCCCGGTTGAATGTTGCTAAACAACTTCAGTATGAGGATATAAATAGTTTTCTGGGGACGGGTGCCAGTCGAGGTGAAAAACAAATACTTCAATCATTCTAAAAAGCACCTGAAAAAATGAATTAATATCAAACATGTTATATGATCTTTGGAATTTAGCGACTGAAACTTTCTTTGAACAGGCTCTTTTGCTTTTAAGAGACTTTTAGGGTTGTTAACAAAAGAAATGTAAAACAGATGTCAAATACCGATTTATTTTGAGTAACTGGCGGGGGTCATAGGTTCAGTTTCTACAAGTTCTCGAGATACAATCGATCAATAGGCCATTCTTCACTGACCCGTATGCATTACACTGCTGTATTGCACTATATAATTGGCAGCCAGTCTGTCAACAACCAGTCCTTTCTCGACTTCAGATCTGATTGGTAGATGCTTGGTTAACTCATAATTAGCCCGGCCTGCATAGCTCTCATTTAACTCTCCCTGACCCATTTGTGAGCCGATTAGCATTCTCCTCCATTTGTAGGAGGCTGGTCCCATCTCTGAAAGCAACTGCTCGGCTCTGGGAGCGGCTTCCAGTTAGTCTGTGTGTATTTGCATAATACATGTGTTTTGGGCGTGTGCATATCAGTATGACTCTGCCGATATTAGCGCTTTTGAATTGTATTTCACGGAGTTCTTTTATTTGCTTCTGTGTAGCATTAGTCTCCCTATCTCCCTCTCTGTGCCTCTCTGCTGTGTTCCCCATCATAAAGCAGACTGTATCAAATCACAGTCAGCATACAGTCGATTTCTGAGTGTGTTTGATGTAATCCCAGGGATTTATCAGTGACATTATCACTTAACTAAAGCAGGGAACTTTACATTTCCATCTCAGGGATTTCCCTCAACCACACTCAAAGGGAAATGATCAATTTATGAACATTTTCCATTTTCACATAATGAATGCAGTAAACAATGATTATTGACCCCAATCTATAGGCTCCAAGACATGCATTTGTCCTAGTCATTATGTCTGGGAGAGGCTGCCTGCTCTGCCACAGTTTAAATCTACTGTTATTACTCTGTCATCAGGCACAGGCCTTTTATGGTTTTCTATTACCGCTGCCATGTTATAGCAGCAGTGGAGGACACCGAAGAGCAGGTGGCTGAGTGTGCTCTTTTTTAAAGGACTGTGAGGCAGAACCGAAGCGACAAGATTTAGAGAAAATTTTATATTTTGAGACCACAGAAATATAAAACCACAAGGTTATAAAGAACATGCATGCAATATCGATTTCTTGCTGAATTTGTGGCAATAGATAAAGAATTGCAAGTTCTTGTCTACTTTCAACTCAGAGGAGAAATAGAGTCACAATTCATGTGAGATATTGTGATAAAGTAAACAGGCTTATTATTTTCTATTATGAAACATTTCATCATGGAGGCAAGAATCCACCCACAACCTTTGCATCCCTACCAAACACTTTCAAAAGTGCATTTTAAGCCCAATTGACCTAACTACTTCCCACTGATGAAACTTATCAGCCCAAGGGGCAATGCATAGCAGAGGACTACTTAAGTATTCTACAGCTCTGCCTTAGTTCACAGTCAAGCACCAGAAGCACAAGTCTGCCTACAAATAACACTGCCTGTGTTCTTTTTCGCCCTACAAAAAAATACTTCAGTGTATATAGCTTCAGTGAGCCAACCCCAAAGCCGGGGCCTTAGTCTACATGGAAATAACAGCACACACGAAGAGTAAAAATGAATTTGAGCACGACCAAATCCCTTTTAAATGCAACTAGGACAAACACGTGAGTGGTACTTCCTGAATATTTTAGGTTATATGTGTGTTAGCTCCTGCACATGAGTTAAATAAGGGAAAGGAAATTGGCACAGTAAGTGTTCACCTCCTGTGATAGCTGCCCCTGAGTTCATTCTGCAGTGCTATTGTTGTATAAAGTAGCAGTGCTGGATATACAGCTCCCGTTATGACTCACAGTGCAGAGGTAGCAATTAGGTACCTCAGGAGTTCACATTAGACAGACCTCCATCACGCGCCATTCCCTAAATTTAGAGAAACCCTCAGGCATGTCCATACATTGTACAAATGCTCTTTAAATTTACGATTCAGGCTACGAAAATGGACTTCTGTACCCGGTGGCAAAATGTGATTTACTGTCCTATTTAAATGGCCACACTGTTTCTGAGAGGTTGGTGTTTCCATAGCTAACCCTGAGGCTGTTTAGACACATCATGCTGTAAAGTAAGCAGACATTTAACATCGACCATAGAAAGCTCGCTGTGGAGAGGAAAACAATGCACTTAGGTTCCAAGAATTGTCATTTGCATTGAAACACATGATCTTGTTTCTGTTTTGATAGTTTTCTTTAAATTCGAAAATTAAGAAAAACCTCTACCAGCTATAATTCTAGCCATGTAGCTCTAGGGAGAAATGCCAGTTTGTCAGTCCACCACTTTGGTGTACATTTTATGAAGCAGATTCACGTTTGGCATTATTAGCCTTAACTGTCTGTGCTAATTAGCAATGTTCACAAGGTACCATGCTAAGCTAAGACGGAAGTCAATTATCTGTGATATAGGTTAGGTTTTTGACATTGCCATTATAGTGTAACAGTGTTGATGATTTTTCACTTGTCATCACTTGCAATATTTTGCTCTCTTGTCATGATCTGCCAATCTCAATTGTGTGAATGCTATTTATATTGTATTCTTTTGAAAAAGTACTTTTTTAAATAAGTTTGATAAGGATTTAGACGTACTCTGTTAGCATCATTATTGATCTCTGTGGTCTTGCTTGCAAACAGTTACTGCTACATTATCTGTTTCTGTGTTTTAGTAAATGCCTGATGACCAAAACGATGAGAACGAGATAAAACACAACATATAGACGTAAAGGAGAAAGTAAGCCTTCGTTTAAAAATCTACATTTTCTTCTGAATTATGATAAATTAGTGAAAAGATACAGTCTCCAATCGATTTGGCCTTAAGTTGTAAACTTTCAGGGGAAAAAAAATCCACTTATGAGGTTTTGAATACCACAACAGAGTAGCTTTCATATGGATTTCATATGGAAAACTGTACAAATATCTCCATTTAAAGTTTTAATAAGGAAATAAATGAAGTGTCCTGCCCTTCCTGTTGCTCTTACTTTAAGTTGCAGAGTTTTAAATATTTAAAAAATGTCAGTTCAATCATGAGAATGCATCGGATGAAAAACAAGTATTTATTGTTATTTCACTCAAACTGACAAAAACTATTTGAGCAGGAATCAAGTTTTACACAATTAGGTTAATCTTAATTGGCAATTACTTTGATTTGTAATCCTAAAGTTATTTAATGAGCTCATTTAATGGTGCCATGGAGCATGATAGAATATGGTAATTGGTTTTCATAAGAAGCGTAAAAATCAAGGTGTGCATGTGAGGTGGGTGGTGCCACATAGTCACCAACCCATTATGGGGCATTAAGAAAAAGTTTTCCGCAAATAATCAAGTCC